CTGCATTTTTAGAAGTTCGGAAATGTTGTTTAAGGTTATTATTTTTATTAGACCATATAGATGTTTTATTTCTTTCCACGTAAGTTTCTGAGCTTCATCGAAATTAATTTTGACTTTCACTGAGTAGGGAGGGGTACAATGCAAGGGGTAGAATGGGAAAACTGTAACTAACAGATGCCATAATATTTTGAAACCCATCTGGCCCAGGACAACTTATGCTCGTGATACATTGAAAACCATTTGAGTTCGCGACTCATGGTAATTTATTAGGTGGCAAGACAGCATTGAAAGGATCAGACCAAAATATTAGACAATTTAAAAACTCCCAAAAGTGACTGATTCATGTAACTTCTCCCTATAATATCCAAACACTATCCAGCAAACAGATAACGATAATACTGAAACTTATCAGGCAGAAGTTATCTTGATCTTACATAAAATTCTCATAACTTATTTACAAGTAAATGTGTAGCAACTAGAAGGGAGAATTAACAATCAGATCTTGGGTATTTAAGGGTTAAAGGAAGAGAGCAGAAATGCTTCCTCTCAGCTACTAATCTCAGCAATGCTAGTCCTTCACACACATTTAAGTTTCTGTCAGTGATAAACATTCAGTGAATTGATATTCCCATTCTTAGCACTCAGAGGCCTTCTGAAAAAAAGGTTTGCTATACTAGTTCTTATTGCATTGTGTTAACCAATGTTATGATAGTATAATTTTGAGATACTTAAAAGATTGAGAAATATATCCAAATCAAGATATTTATTTCACACTGTTACAGTTACCATAAGATTTGTTTGAAAGAGAATCTTTCAGACCATCGAATTGTATGAGAATTTTTTTTTTTGCGAGACTTCTATGAAACTTCTTATTATGAGAAAAATTTTGCGAATAATAAAATTTAGTGTCAGTTCATCTTTGTGTTGAGAACTCTTTTAGTTGGTGAAACTTGAACTGCTAGCCGCCAAATACCAAGGTTCCAAATAATGTACACTTTATTCTTCCTGTTATTTGTCTCTGCACAAGTTCAAATCTATTCGAAATCTAGTAGAAATATATATGTTTCTGTCAGAAAGATTGTCAGGATAATCAAGCACATAAAGTAACGTATACATACCCGTTGGTGTCTCAAATTCCGCGACTAGTAGTCATTTAATTTTGTCTTACTAATAACAGATTGTTACGTCACTTCATAATAATTATGACGATAATTTCAGTAATTTCGTGTCATAGCGAAACAAAACTCACTTTTTCTTTTTTCCAATTTGAAGCATCACATTGATTGATACATAAAGCACACAAAATATTTTTTGAGAGATCCATGTGGCATCCATAGTGGATTACTATGCTATCATGAAAAACAAAAACAACAACTACTGAAAACTGCTTTTGTCACAATTGCTACCAAATTTGTGTCAGTTTTTTGGGTCTGCCATAATAAGTGAAAACTCTGAAGATCTTGGTTATTTTATTAAAAGCAATTACTTTCCAAGAGTTTCTCTGCTAGGAGTGTTTTAGGCAAGCCATGTAGTAAACAGGTGAGCAGTACTGAACTTATTGACTTACTGCCGCGGCAATGCAAAAAACTCTATCGAACTTAAAACAATTCAGGTACCTAATTGAAAATTTGTACTAATTTTGCAACAATAGTCACCCTCATCCATAATTCACAGAGAATAAGATAAGTATAGAACGATGAATACTTAGCAAAAATACATGCCTCCGTGCGTAAACTTGAAGAAGTGAAAGCTCGTAAGCAAACCATTGGGGCCATAAAATGTATTTGAACAACCAAAAGCGGCACACTACTCTCTTTCCTTTTTGGGAGAAAAATTAGCTTTATCGATATTTCGGCTAGGACCATCCATTTTCCTTAAAAATCGAACAATTTTACTGCCTAAGTATGAATTTCGCCAAGTGCGCTCACAGAGATTTAACACGAGTCAGCCCCAGCCTCGTTCTCACGTGTGCGCGGTTGCATTTCCAATATGGCGCTGGGAACTGTAAAAAGGTCTATTAGAAAGTGAAGAGGAGACCCGGAGGAGACTTCTTTTTTACAATGCATACAAGAGAAAGGTTCCTGTGTGCAGCGGGAAGTATATTCAATGAACTCTGCAAGTGCATGTTTTCATTTCGTCTCCTATTTTTGATGGAGGTAGTCGAACTTTCAGCCGCGGACACTGGACTTATAATACTCATTGGACAAATTGTCGACGCGTTGACCTCAGTAATCTCTGGTTACCTCGGCGATATGGTTAAAGTACCTGTTCTTTCACAGAAAATTGGAATGCGAAAATCTTGGCATCTCATGGCGACGGTTTTTACGGGCATCGTAGTTCCTCTCTGGGGCAACCGCTGCATTCTCTGTGGTGGAAACCATCAAACTTGGCTTCCCCCCGTCTATTACGGTTTCTTGTACTCACTGTATAACATGTGTTTCAGCGTGATGGAGATAAATCACCTGGCTTTCATCACAACTTCAGCTGTGTCGGTTGAAGAACTAACAGATTTAAGCGCCATCAGGTTTGCTATTTTTAAAAGTATTATATTAAATTAAACTTAACTGTTCACCCATTTTGTTGGACTCTTACCAAAGATCTACTGGAGGACAGACGCGTAGTTTACGTCGTCATAAATCACTTGTATGACTTTTATATAACTCAACTCAAGTAAGGACATTCTGAGGCAGTTTTTTCCTAACTTATCCTGTAGGAATAATAAACGTGACATCTAAGAACAATTTTTCTTATTCTTCTCTTTTCCTTGTTCAAAAGGACAATGTTCAGCTTCCTTAGTGGTATTTACATATACGTGATCGCCTGGGGACAAGACAATAGCGATACTCTGGGACCCCAGAGCCTTCCAGATTTTGCGGTAAGCGCAGCTTCGTTAATAACTTTATGCCACGATAAGCTTTTAAAAACAGGCGGAAGCGCAATACAGTGAAATAAAAAAACGCAATTAAAAAACGGGTTGGAGAAATTTGGTTTTCTCTTCCTGTCAGCCTGCCAGCCTCTTTCTACACATCTCTGCTGGCATTAAAAATCTTTTTTTTGTCCTTAACCTCGCAACTTTCAAGATCTGACTGTCACTTCTCTCCTGGAGCTGCTGTGCATTTCCTTGTAAATTAATTTTGAGAATTTAGTGTTAGATCAAGATAAAAACTTCTATCTGATAAGTATAAGTATTCTCATCAGCTGTTGGCTGGATAACGTATGTTTACTACAGGGAGAGGTTACAAGTTAATCATTTCTGGGAGTTAAAGGGTTAAGATGCTAGTTGATTAATTTTTTTTCTAAACAGCGCCTCTCGTTGATTACTACTGGAACAGGACTCTTCTTTGCAGCCATCATCCACATTGGTACAAAGGAACCTCGAAAATGTCAGAGTAAAGAAAGCACCACAACGGATCTTACGGTACTACAGGAAGCAAAAAAGATATTTCCTTTTCAGATAAAGGTCATATAAAAGCTTATTTTTGCGTTCGGAAAGCAGACAACACCATGGAGCTAATAGCGACGCACTTGCGCGATTGTTTCTTCGTTCTTAATTTGATTTATCTACAAGAGGTCTATTAATCTGAACGGGTCTTGAAGTTACATAGCATGATCAGAGGGATAGAGGTATGGTCTACACATTATCTAAAGCAGCCCTCAATTCACTCTGGCCACTTTCCCGTTATTTTGCAGAAAGCTCCTGGAAAATTCATTGAATAGTCTGGCCCCGAAAATGCAAGTAAGTCTATTGATATGTACTGTGGTGTATAATTTTAAAACTGTCGTTGTTTCTGTTAAATTGCAGATGTAACGTCCTTTCCGACATCAAACTAAACCAAAAATGTGAAAAACGCTACTCGTCTTCATCCCAAGGGGGATAGATCTTATTTTTGCATGGAGCTTCTTAATATCGAATGTATTGTTGCCTCGGTATTTTTGAGAATCTATTGACCATGGCTGTGTGCAAGCATGCCACAAGTTTGATACAGGTGGTCCACTCTGAAGACAGCACCAATTTTGTTTGAAATGTTTAGACAACGTCCTCTTTAAAGCAAAATATCTAGTTCAGAAGCGCATGTCAATTGGAGATTAAGATAAGTGGTCACAGTAAGGATATCCAACCCTCAAGCTCTCTTCAGTTATTTCTAGACTGCATTCCGCTAAGAAGCTAAATGTCGACTACGTTCGTAGCTCGAGTTTTACTTCGAAGAACCAGCCAAGTAGATGGCTAGGATGGGGCAAATAATTTCATCCGTCAACCTAGCCTTCTAAGGATCGTCTTTTTGGACAACTTTACTATAACTTTTTTTCCAGCGCAGCGCAAAACCTTTAGCTTAGCTTGGGTTACTCAGATTTTTCACTTACAAGTTCCAACGAGAAAAGAAGTAGAACAAAAACTAAACGAGAAGAAGTCTAGATATCCCGTGTTATAAAAATATTATTGAGATCATTTTGAGGAAATAAATGTTAATAGTTGATCCGACAAAGAGTTAAGACATGTTCCTGAAGGTGACATGATTTAGTTCTATCGTTGAGCCCTGAGACAGAAAAAACCGACGTTCGTTAATTGCTTGTTTTGTTTTTTGTTTTGCTCAAGATTCTAGACGGACCAGTCTTGCTTTTAAGTTTACTAACATGGTTATGGCTTCAACTGAATATGAAGAACATCAAAATGAGATGGACGGAAATGGAGAAACCAAAAGCCATGAAGTGCGTGTCAGAAAACGAAGTCTTCTGCAGAAGTTTGCTGTTGCTATGTTTGCCGACGAGAAAACTGATCTAGAAGTACAGCATTTTGATAGTGAACGCAAGAAGAGTCTACGAACGCTTGATTTTGACGACATCCTGTTGAGACTACAACACGAAGAGCACGAACAACCAAAATGTTTTGGTGCCATGGAAAACCAAGTTACAATGGACGGTATAGACGATGATCATGCAACTGATGAAGAGTCGTGTGGAACGCCAGGCAAGAAAAGATAAAAAACATTACTGATAAAGATATGTGGAAAATGACCAGCAAAGCGGCCCCCAAGACATCTTTTTGTACTGTATTTAAGCAAAGAAAACATGGAATGGTGCTTTTCCCGGATGATTGTAAATTTGGTCTCTCTAACTCTGGATTTGAAGATGATGGAGGTGATGATGATAACAAGGAAAGACTTTGCGGTACATCAATTAGGAAGCAAAAAAAGTCTAGGACTTTCGATCCTTCTGGATTTCTGGAAATGCCGTCAATGAACGGAACAGAACGACATAGATTAAATCTCGATCACACGCCTGACAACAAAACGATTCTGGATGAAAGTACGCAAGATTTTCCAAAACGGCACGTCAGAAAAATCGAAAGAATAGAAGGTTGCAATGGCACAAATAATTCGTTAACTTCAGCGGATAACCCTGATCTTCATGGTCTCCCTGTTCAATCGACAAGTTCTACATCTGAGGGAAGACGTCCAAAAGGAATCAAAAACTGGCCAAAAGATCCAAACGTGTACATGGTAAACCCTCGTGTTTCCAACTATCCTTGTTTGTTGATTTAGTTGACTCCCTGTGATGTTTTTCTCGTGTTTTAATTTTCAGTTAGCCATTATCTTTACATGTACACGCCTTGCACAGGACTCTGTATTTACCGCTATTCCTCACAGAGAGATTATAATTTCCCAAGGTATAGTTCAATATGAAGTGCTCAGTTGTTTTCAAACTCTTTCATAATTATAATAATCTCATCCTACTTTTGTCCTGAATCAGGCAGCTACCGCTTATTTTCCACTCGTCCTCTTAACCAGTGGCTCTCTAGCGAGTTCAACGTGTAAGAAACTGAAAAGGAAAATTGGAGGTAAGGTAAGACCAGGATTAACAGCTTCTTCTAGCTGGTCACTCCACCTTTGTGATAGTGGAAATGCATTGATTGCGCCAAACGTCGGCTTATCTACTCGTTGATAATGATTGGCTGAGAGGGGCAATTAATCAACGATCATCTCAATGGCTTTATTTAACTTAATGGACAAATGAACCATCTTTTCTCAAGTAAAGGTAGTCAGAAGCTCGATTCCTCAAAGGATTCTCAGACCTTTTCTTTGTTTTTTGCTTATTACAGAACCAAGAACAACTTTATTTGTTAAATTAGTCTTAGTAACTTTCATACTTTCATTGATATGTACATCATAGTAGAGCTACCTTCTGGCAAGCTTATTAGTGATGGGTGGCGCTGTTTGGAGCTATTTTCAAACCTTCTCCACCAGACAATCAACTTATGCATCAGTGGTTATGATAGGAAGTGGTCTGTCCATAATGTACGTCATGGCACTGGTCTTCATCACCGAGCTGATAGGGGAAAATAAGGTTAGTGTTTCGAAACAAGTTTTAATGGTTTCGAAGAAAGACTTAGTCGCAAACTCTGATCAGTTCAGTGACAGTGCATTTCCAACCAGCCATTTTTGAAATTGAAATGACGTGGAATTTCTTTTGAATATTGCAAAACAAAATCCAAACTCATCCCAACTCTTTGTCAGAACGAAATAAAACTCTTACAAGGAGCTAATGGGAATTTAAAGTAAATACAGTTCGATCACCTGAAGTTTGGGAAACTCCGAGTTACATCTGATCGGTTGAGAGATTGTTGCGAGTTTTCAAGGCCAATCACAGAGGGTACTGAAAAAGAACCGTTTCAGTCGCGGACTAGTTCCGAAACTTGATTAACACCATGATTAGTGTGCAAACTTTCCAGAGTGATCTCTATAAATTTACCATAAAACTAACAAGGACAATTTTTCTAAAAATGAAGACCTTCATTTTGATTGGCGATCATTTACCATTTTCTCTCTTGACGTAAATGTTTGATTCAGCAGTAACACTGGGGGGAGAAATTAAAGACCTGTTGGTCTTAGGCCTGGGGGTAAAGAGTTAAAAATTACGTAAATGTTAGTACTAATGTTGGTTTCCCATCTGAGATCAATGAGTTAATACGGTGATTTCCTGTCAGGAAACCAGTGGATCAGTGTTTTCCATTATCACTGTAATCGCCAGAATCTCAAGCGGTGTACTTATCATTGGTATACAGGAATTTTATCCGGAAGAAAGGTTGGTCTATCAAATCTTTATTGTAATGTACCTTGGAAGGAACAAGAAACATGCTATATAAAACGTTTAGATGACCAGCCGATTTGTTCAAACTCGAAAAGTATATTCAACATGTTTGTCTTTACCAGCTTGACCAGGCCATCCTTGACAATTTGAAATTTTAACAACAGTTTTAAAATTATGCACGATTTAGTAAACTCCTCAATTCCTCTATTCAATTTAGAACCAGCTCAAATGGGGCGGTTAGCAACTACGTACGGCATGTGTTTGTAATGGCACCTGGAGTAATAACTCTGGTGGGATTCTTGCTGGTTTTGTTTTTCCAACCATCTAACTTTATCTTCAAAAGTAAAGGTAAGTACATTGTCAAGCTGTTAGACGTCTATAACTTGGGTAACGTATGGAGAATCACTGCAAATACTCTGAATTACCCTCTGACGCAATGGTATCAAGCGTTCCTTTGTTGAAATTAGTAATGTTATTAAATGACACAAGCCTGTGTAAATGTATTTACCTCATGATGGTTGTGCGTCTATGTAGTACTGCCGGTTTTATACTTAGATTTTCAGGTTTGTTAGTCAGTATTACATGCGGTTGTCTTTGTTGTCAAGGAAAACTTCCTCTGTAAATTTATTCCTCTAGCTTTAGAAGATGTTGAGGCTCTACACGGCCAATCGTCGTTTGATGTTCCACGTCCATCGGGAGTCAAAGCAACGTCAAACCACAGCTTGGATGATGGTCACAAAACCTCCATCGTGGTGGTGGATTCTTGTTCTGAGGACTCAAAACTTTGAATTCTTTGAAAATTGCATTATGTGTAGAGGCTCCGTCGACCTACTAAAAGATTATGGCACAGATACGCCCACGATTTGGGCCTACACGATTTGACTGCTAATTGGTTCATTTTCAACAGTCAAGTTAAAATTAAAGAGATAGTATAGTTCGTTTTCTGTCTGTTCTTGTTTAGATTTTAGGAAAAACCCTTTCACATGAAAAGTGTTGTGATCGTAGAATAACGTAAAATAAAAGCAGACAAGTCGTGAAGACTTCTCGCACCAAGATGAACAAGAGTCTACTTTCCTAAATTTTCAATAAATAGTTATCGTGTGTGTTTAATATTAATAAGAATAGCATAGTATTTTAATGTAAAATGAGTCTATCGATGTTCAAAATTGTTTAGATCTTGTTTTGTATTGATAGCTCAAAGGTTTCCTCGAACTTCCTCAGAAAACTGTTCACATCTCGTATTTAATAATGTAAACCGTTTAGATCAATGGCGGACAATCCGAGCAGAAGTTCATAGATTATAGTTACATGTATTATGACATTTTTTGGTTTTGAATTACTGGTATGATCGTGTTCGCAGTCCTAATTATGCCTGAAACTAATTTTCAAACATGAGAAAATGAGGCGAGGCGAGGCGAGAAGGACAGGGAGGGTAGGAAGGGTTAAAAGGAAGGGAAGGGGGGGGGGAAGCTCCTTGTTCAGGCTTCGAAATAAGGCTGTTTAGAGTCAATATCTACACCAGCATATTCCTTACCTAAAAAATGTAACAAGAAGTACATGAGATGTAAACTGACGAATCTTTATTTAAGATTTCGGTGAAAAATAAAGGTTAACCGTTGAAATACTAAGTCTATTGCACACTGAAATGTAAAAAATATATAAGAGTTGACACCCTCTAATCATACTCAGCTTGTTCCTTTCCCCTCATTTGTGGTTAAAGTGTTTTGAAATTCAATTTCTTACGTTAGGGTAAAAAGTTTCTTTGGTCAGTATTTTAGTAAAAACATCAGACTTCGAACGAAGACAGGTTGCTAGTAGTGGTGTTTCTTGTTATCCAGCTGGTGTTCACCAATTAGCTACTTTACACGTGAAATTGCGTGACAACACGTGTTCAGTAAACAAGGTCACTATCCAACAATGCTGACATCGACCATTGACACATTTGATACCTAAATCGTGTGCTTATCGTGAAATGACGCCCCAGCCCATGTAACTTACTCTACCTCCACATGTTTTGATGATAAACAGGAAAACTATACTCAGTGATATTTAAAAGGACGACTGTCTATGAGGAAGGCTGGATGACAGCTGGAGAGACCTTTCTTACAATTGAGTCACAATTAAGGGTAGTGCTTTCCTTATAACACTGAAAAAAAAGACAATCATTGCGATACTTCATTTGGACGTCCTCAGTTTCCAACAGGTTAAGGCAATCTTAGATAAGTGTTACCATTCGCTCTGACGGAGGGCTGACGCTCGAAACGTCAGCTTTGAAACTCTCTAAGGTGGCCAATTTACATTATCAACTCAGTTATAAATTAATCCAAATTATCTTAACGTACGTGCTTGTTTGTTTGTTCCAGGTGATCGAACCTGACAGAGCTTCAAGTTAGCTAGTTTGAGCATGCGTAGTAAGAGTACGGCCAAGAACGAATGAGGGAATCAAGGCCTTTTGTCTAATTTTATAATCAAAATTAGTCGCAAGAAAAATTGGTTGCTTTCTCTTAATGTACGTGGACATTAAAAGCACCACAAAAAATTTCCAAATTGTTGACCTTGCTAGCTATGAGCCAAAGGAGTGTCTGGTTGTTCCAATTCACCATAGCTGACTGGGTTTCAGAGAGCCTAATTGACTTGGTTGAGTAAATCTGTCAGACTGGATATGTTCATGAATGCGTTTACACAGGACAGGATACGTGACCCAAGGAAAGAAAATCTGCCAAAACTTCCAGTGAACTTAAAGCTCAATTACTGAAAACAAACATATACTTTCCGACAATTCTTAATTGTTACAACACTGGTACATCGTATAGATAGCTCGGAAAGTTGTCTTGCCTTAGCAATTTTTCGAGTGCAGGCCACTGAAAAGACACTTTCCAACCGAGCTTTCGTTTTTTTTTTTTTTCTAGACAGATTTCTAGAAAGATTTTCCTAAGAGACCTCGAACCGTATTTCAAGGGTCCAAGTATTGTGAACCAGCAGACAGAGTATGCAGAATAAATGCGCACATTACATTCACTTCGAAAATCCCTGGTGATTCCTGCAATCTGACTGGGGTCACGAATCGCACCATTTTTCTTTTCTCTAAATCGCATCCATTTCCTAGCCAACGCAAAATAAACACTAAAACAAAATATTCAATCGAAATTTCCCCAGAACCTTTCTTTTTTTTTCCATAATAGAACAGCACTCTGTAAATTTTTAATGTTGGTGTAGTTAAGTAACAACCGCGCGACAAAAGTCTCTTTTAGTTTGGCCATTACTCAAATTAAAAATTAAAGGCTACGATGCAAATTTATTGAATTTTTGAGGACTCGAAATATGAATTCAACTTCATGTTCACTTTGCACAGAAAAATGCCCTCTTGGCTCGAGTTCACCTTTACAATTTTTTTCCACTGCCTTAAACTTTTTTAAATCTACCATATTCTGATGTACCCAATTTCCTACTCTCGATTCAAATTAGCTCAAACGAGGCTGCTGGCAACTACGAGCAAAATGTGTCAGCAATGACGTCTGAAGTATTCTGTTTGGTTTTACGCAAGAAACCGTATACCCACGCAGAGACTTTCTCTGCTTTTTGTTCTAATTCCTCTGCTTTTGATGATAGGTTTGGAGCGTTATTTCATATATTGTTGTATGCCCTCCATTGCATGACCTTTACGTGTGCCATTTCTCGTGTGCAGACGCACAGGATGTTGAAGCTCAAGCAGATCAATCATCGTTTGATGTTCCACTTCTTCAGCTTCTCTTCGAAACAAAGCAACGCCAAAGGTGTGATTAGATGCAAATCAAAACTCTTCCGTCGCTGCGGTTCATTGTTTTCCTGAGGACAGAAATCTATAATTTCTTTTCAGAAATATAATATGCGTGGGTTTTGTTGCATAAATCCATACACAAGATTATTGTAGAGCTACGTTAATGGTTACGGGATGTTTTAGTTCTGAGACAGCAGTATCTTTACTAATGGAGACCTCAGACAATGGTTGCTCGAATAGAACTACCTTGTCTAACAATTGTCTTTCAAGAAAGACATAGTGCAATTACTTGCTTGAGATTAAATTGCCAGCATACGAAAGAAAGTTCAAAGTGAACAGATGGTTTGCAACTGCATTTCACTTCAAATAATTGCTTTTGCAATCCACAACTCTAAACTATTCTAATTTGTATCAATGACTCAAAACAAGCCAAAATCAGTCGCGTTTGAGCCTGTAATTATGCGGAACATTTTAGTTTCTGCACTTTCAATTACATAAGGTCAGTTCACCGGCTATATAAACATGTTACTTGGATATCCAAGTAACGATGAAGGAGGAGGTTATTCAGTTCATATATTTCTTCTTCCAAAGAGACGGTAAACTCATTTCCAATGTGAATGTTTTAAAAGCACTACTTAATAATCGGCCAAATGTAGGTCATGGGAGATGGCGGTGAACGAGACTTGGCATCAATGTTTCTCAATTAACTTCCTTTTAATTATGGAAATTGCAATAATTAGTCTACTTATCATCAACCCCGATCTTTATCAATTTGATGACTCTCAAGAATAATAAGCTATAGCCAAGAATAATAAGCTATAGCCAAGAATAATAAGCTATAGCCAAGTTCTAGCGTCAATCTATGGTTTAGCGAATTCAGTAAAACTGCCAAGAAAAGTAGCACCCAGTTATAGTATCTATAAGTTTTCAAACGACGCAAAAGATTAGCTTACTGCGTTTCGAGCTTGATTCGTTTTAGTCAGAGTAAAATATTGCGAGGGCTGGGGTAGGAAACCTCACTAAGACTCTGTTGATATGATTGGCTCTCTGGAAAATAAAAAGCGAGCTGTGATTGATGCATTATTTTCTTATCAAGTTGGAACGTCACACACCCATATAAAAATGGTAAAAATAGGCTTCCCATAGAATCGAAGCAGGTTTAAGCGGGGGAAAGAGAGTGTGGCGTGCCCAGACCAAGGAGCCTCGTTTTTACAATGCGTACAAGAGAAATGTTACTGTGCGCAGCGGGAAGTATATTCAATGACCTCTGCAAGTACATGTTTTCATTTTCTCTCCTATTTTTGATGGAGGTAGTGGAACTTTCAGCTGTAGACACTGGACTTATAATACTCATTGGACAAATTGTTGACGCGTTGACTTCAGTAATCTCTGGTTACCTCGGCGATATGGTTAAAGTACCCGTTCTTTCACAGAAAATTGGAATGCGAAAATCTTGGCATCTCCTGGCAACGGTTTTTATGGGCATCGTAGTTCCTCTCTGCATCAACCGTTGCATTCTCTGTGGTGGAAGTCATCAAACATGGCTTCCCACCGTCTATTACGGTTTCTTTTACTCACTGTATAACATGTGTTTCAGCGTGGTGGAGATAAATCACCTGGCTTTCATCACAACTACAGCTGGGTCGGTTGAGGAACGAACAGATCTTAGCGCCATCAGGTTTGCTATTTATAAAAGTATTAAATTAAATTACACTCAACTGTTCACTCATTTTTTTTGGCTCTTACCAAAGATCTACTGGTGGACAGACGCATAGTTTACGTTGCCATCCGCACAATTTTGCTTTTTTATCATCTAAAACAAACAGATTACATGTTGACGTGGATTTATAGTTAAAGATCACATAATATGTCAAAATGTGTTAAGAACATCAGTTATACACTCGGCTGCGCCTCGTGTGCCACGAGCACATTTTGAATCTTCATCCAACTAGTTTGCGAAGTTTTTATATAGACTGGTTGCGTCTACTTTCTGTTTAAAATGCGGACAAGAGAACAGCTATTGCGCGCGGTAGGAAATTTATTCAAAGAAGTCTGCCGGCAGCTTAATTTTTCATTTAAAAGTTTTCTCTCAAAGAATCCCGGTGGGTGAAAATCTTGGCACCTTTTGATAACGGTTTTAATGAGCATTATAATTCCTTTTTTTTTTCATCGCTGTTTTCTTTGTTATAGAAATCATGGTGGGTGGCTTTCAATTGTCTATTACATCTTCTTGATCTCGGTGTACCACATTTGTTTGAGCATTGTGGAGATAAATTATCTTGATTACAACTGTAACTGAATCCGTCAAGAATGTACAGTTTTATTGGTGCTATAAAGTTTGCTTCAAGAGACTTTTTTTTGTTTTAAATATACTTGTATAAACACTTGTATGACTTTTATATAACTCAACTCAAGCACGGACACTCTGAGGCCGTTTTTTCCTAAGTTATCCTATAGAAATGATAAACGTGACATCTAAGAACAAGTTTCCTTACTCTTCTCTTTTTCTTGTTCAAAAGGACAATGTTCATCTTCCTTAGTGGTATTTACATATACGTGATCGCCTGGGGCCTTTTCGGACAAGACAATAGCGATACTCTGGGACCCCAGAGCCTTCCAGATTTTGTGGTAAGCGCAGCTTCGTTAATAATTCGATGCTACGATATGCTTTGACAAACAGGCGGAAGCTCAATACAATGAAATTAAAAAAAAAAACGCAATTAAAAAACGGATCGGAGAAATTTGGTTTTCTCTTGCTGCACTGCCTGACAGCCTTTCAGCCTCCTTCCACACATCTCTGCTGGCATCAAAAACCTTTTTTTTTGTCCTTAACCTTTCAACTTTCAAGATCTGATTGTCAATTCTCTCTTGGAGCTGCTTTGCATTTCCTTGTAAATTAATTTTGAGAATTTAGAGTTAGATCAAGATAAAAACTTCTCCCTGATAAGTAAAAGTATTCTCATCAGCTGTTGGCTGGATAACGTATGTTTACAACAGGGAGAGGTTACAAGTTAATCATTTCTGGGAGCTAAAGGGTTAAGATGCTAGTTGATTAATTTTTTTCTAAACAGCACCTCTCGTGGATTGCTACTGGAACAGGACTCTTCTTTGCAGCCATCTTCCACATTGGTACAAAGGAACCTCAAAAATGTCAGAATAAAGAAAGCGCCACAACGGATTGTACAGTAAGACAGGAAGCAAAAAAGATATTTCCTTTTCTTTTCAGATATAGCTCATACAAAAGCTTATTTTTGCGTTCGGAAAGCAGACAACACTATGGAGCTAAAAGCGGCGCGCTTGCGCGACTGTTTCTTCGTTCTTCATTTGATTTATCTTAAAGAGGTCTATTAATCTGAACGGGTCTTGAAGTTACATAGCATGACCAGAGGGATAGAGGTATGGTCTACACATTATCTAAAGCAACCTTCAATTCACTCTGGCCACTTTCCCGTTATTTTGCAGAAAGCTTCTGAAAAAGTCATTGAAGACTTTGTACCCGAAAATGCAAGTAAGTCTACGGATATGTACTGTGGTGTATTATCTTAAAACCGTCGTTTGTTCTGTTAAATTGCAGATGTAACGTCCTCTCCGACCTCAAACTAAACTACATATATGAAAAACGTTACTCGTCTTCATATTAAGGGGGAAAGGTCTTATTTATGCATGGAGCTTCTTAATATATAGTTTATTGTTGCCTCGGTAATTTTGAGAATCTATTGGCTATGACTGTGTGCAGGCATGCCACAAGTTTGATACAGGTGGTCCAGTCTGTGGACAGCACCAATTTTACTTGAAATGTTTAGACAACCTCCTCTTTAAAGCAAAATATCTAGTTCAGAAGCGCATGTCGACTGGAGATTAAGATTAGTGGTGACAGTCAGGATATCCAACCCTCAAACTCCAGTTATTTCCAGACTGCATTCCGCCAAGAGGCTAAATGTCGACTATGTTAGTAGCTCGAGTTTTACTTCGAAGAAACAGCTAAGTAGATGGTGAGGATAAGGCAAGGAATTTCATCCGTCAACCTAGCCTTCTAAGGATCGTCTTTTTGGACAACTTTACTATAACTTTTTTTCTAGCGCAGCGCAAAACCTTTAGCTTAGCTTGGGTTACTCAGATTTTTCACTTACAAGTTCCAACGGGAAAAGAAGAAGTATAACAAAAACAAACGAGAAGAAGTCCAGATATCCCGTGTTATAAAAATATTATTGAGATCATTTTGAGGAAATAAATGTTAATAGTTGATCCGACAAAGAGTTAAGACATGTTCCTGAAGGTGACATGATTTAGTTCTATCGTTGAGCCCTGAGACAGAAAAAACCGACGTTCGTTAATTGCTTGTTTTGTTTGTTTTTGCTCAAGATTCTAGACGAACCAGTCTTGCTTTTAAGTTTACTAACATGGTTATGGCTTCAACTGAATATGAAGAACATCAAAATGAGATGGACGGAAATGGAGAAACCAAAAGCCATGAAGTGCGTGTCAGAAAACGAAGTCTTCTGCAGAAGTTTGCTGTTGCTATGTTTGCCGACGAGAAAACTGATCTAGAAGTACAGCATTTTGATAGTGAACGCAAGAAGAGTCTACGAACGCTTGATTTTGACGACATCCTGTTGAGACTACAGCACGAAGAGCACGAACAACCAACATGTTTTGGTGCCATGGAAAATCAAGTTACAATGGACGGTATAGCCGATGATCATTCAACCGATGAAGAGTCGTGGAACGCCAGGCAAGAAGAGATCAAAAACATTACTGAAAAAGGTATGTGGAAAATGACCATCAGCGCGGCCCCCAAGACATCTTTTTGTATCGTACCTAAGCAAAGAAAACATGGAATGGTGCTTTTTCCGGATGATGGTAAATTTGGGCTCTCTAACTCTGGATTTGAAGATGATGGAGGTGATGATGATAAGGAGGAAAGCCTTTGCGGTACATCAGTTAGGAAGCAAAGAAAGTCTAGGACTTTCGATCCTTCTGGATTTCTGGAAATGCCGTCAATGAATGGAACAGAACGACAGGAATTAAATCTCGATCACACGCCTGACAACAAAACGAGTCCGGATGAAAGTATGCAAGATTTTCCAAAACAACCCGTCAGAAAAAACGAAAGAATAGAAGGTTGCGATGGCACTAATAATTCGTTAACTTCAGCGGATAACCCTGATCTTCTTGGTCTCCCTGTTCAATCGACAAGTTCTATATCTGAGGGAAGACGTCCAAAAGGAATCAAAAACTGGCTAAAAGATCCAAAAGTGTACATGGTAAACCCTTGTGTTTCCAACTATCCTTGTATGTTGATTTAGTTGACTCTCTTTGATGTTTTTCTCGTCTTTTAATTTTCAGGTAGCCATTATCTTTACATGTACACGCCTTGCGCAGGACTCTGTACACAGTTATTTACCGCTCTTCCTCACAGAGAGATTATCATTCCCCAAGGTATAGTTCAATCTGAAGTGCTCAGTTGTTTTCAAACTTATTAACAATTATAATAATATCATCGTATTTTTTTCCTGAATCAGGCAGCTACCGCTTATTTCCCACTCGTCCTCCTAACCAGTGGCTCTTTAGCGAGTTCAACGTGTAAGAAACTGAAAAGGAAAATTGGAAGTAAGGTAAGACCTAGATTAACAGCTTCTTCTAGCTGATCATTCTACGTTTGTGATAGTGGAAATGCATTGATTACGCCAAACGTCGGCTTATCTACTAGTTGATGATGAGTGGCTGAGAGGGGCAATAAATCAACGATCTTCTTAATGGCTTTAATTAACTTTACTCGACAAATGAACCATCTTTCCTCAAGTTTCAAGTTTTACTCAAAGGATTCTCAGATTTTTTTTTGTGTCTTGCTTGTTACAGAACCAAGAAAAACTTTATTTGTTAACTTAGTCTTAGTAACTTTCATACTTTCATTGATATGCACATCATAGTGGAGCTACCTTCTGGCAAGTTTATTAGTGATGGGTGGCGCTGTTTGGAGCTATTTTCAAACCTTCTCCATCAGACAATCAACTTATGCACCAGTGGTTATGATAGGAAGTGGTCTGTCCATAATGTACGTCATGGCACTGGTCTTCATCACCGAGCTGATCGGGGAAAATAGGGTTAGTGTTTTGAAACAAGTTTTAATGGTCTCGAGGAGAAACGCAAAATCTGCTCAGTTCAGTTACAGTGCATTTTCAACCAGAAAGTCGTTTTGAATGTCGCAAAACAAAATCCAAACTCATCCCAACTCTTTGTCAGAACGAAATAAAATCTTACAAATAGCCACTGAGAATTTCAAGTAAATACAGTTAGATCGCCTGAAGTTTGGGAAATTTCGATTTACATCTGATCAGTTGAGAGATTGTTGCGAGTTTTCAAGGCCAATCACAGAGGGCACTGAAAAAGAACCGTTTCAGTCGCGGACTAGTTCTGAAACTTGATTAATACCATGATTAGTGTGCATATTTTCCATAGTGCTCTCTATAAATTTACCATGATACTAATAGAAATAATTATTTTGATTGGCGATCATTTACCTTTTTCTCTCTTCTCGTAAATGTTTGATTCAGTAGTGACACTGGGAGGAGAAATTAAAGACCTGTTGGTCTTAGGGGTAAAGAGTTAAAAATTACGTAAATGTTAGTACTAATGATGGTTTCCCATCTGAGATCAATGAGTTAATACGGGAATTTCCTGTCAGGAAACCAGTGGATCAGTGTTTTCCATTATCACTGTAATCGCCAGAATCTCAAAGGGTGCACTTATCATTGGTATACAGGAATTTTATCCAGAAGAAAGGTTAGTCTATCAAATCTTTATTGTAATTTACCCTAGAAAGAACAAGAAACATGGTATTTAAAACGTTTAGATGACCAGCCGATTTGTTAAAACTCGAAAAGTATATTCAACATGTTTGTCTTCACCAGCTTTACAAGGCCACCGTTGACAATTTAAAACTTCAATGACGGTTTTTAAATTACGCACGATTTAGTAAACCCCTCAATTCTTTTATTCAATTTAGAACCAGCTCAAATGAGGCGGTTAGCAACTACGTACGGCATGTGTTTGTAATGGCGCCTGGAGTATTAACGCTGGTGGGATTCTTGCTGGTTTTGTTTTTCCAACCATCTAACTTTATCTGCAAAACTAAAGGTAAGTTAGACATATTAGACATTGTCAAGCTGTTAGACGTCTATAACTTGAGTAACGTAATGAGAATAACTACAAATACTCTGAATTACCCCCTGACGCAATGGTGTCAAGCGTTCTTTTGTTTAAACTAGTAATCTTACCAAATAACACAAGCCTGTGTAAATGCATTTACTTCGTGATGGTTTTGTATCTATGTAGTACTGCTATCCATGCTAAGTTAATAAGACGGTTTTAAACTTAGAGCTTCATGTTTGTTAGTCAGTATTACACGTGGTTGTCTTTGTTGTCAACGAAAACGTCTGTCAATTTGTACTTCCAGTTTCAGAAGATGTTGAGGCTCTACACGGCCAATCGTCGTTTGATGTTCAAGTTAACCAATGTCCATCGGGAGTCAAAGCAACGTCAGGCCACAGCTTGGATGATAGTCACAATACCTCCATCGTGGTGGTGGATTCTTGTTCTGAGGACTCAAAACTTTGAATTCTTTGAAAATTGCATTATGTGTAGACGCTCTTTCGACCTACTTAAAGGTCATTGCACAGAAACGCCCACGATTTCGGCCTATACGACCCATAACTGTTATATTTTTAACGATCAAGTTAAAATCAAAGAGATTGTAAAGTTCATTTCCATCTGTTGTTCTTTAGATTTTAGGAAAAACTCTTTCACATGAAAAGTTTTGCAATCGTAGAATTCCGTAAAATAAAAGGAGACAAGTCGTAATAACTTCTCGCACCGAGATGAACAGGAGTCCACTTTTCCTAAATTTTTTGATGAATAGTGATCTTGTCTGTTTAAAGATAATAATAGTGTAGTATCTTAGTTGAAAACGAGTCTATCTATTTTCAAAATTTTTTAGATTTTCTTCTTTTCAATTGATAGCTCAATGTTTGCTCGGAAAACTGTTCACATCTCGAAACAAATAATGTGAACCGTTTAGATCAATCGCGGACAAGCAAAAATTTTCATACATTATAGCTATGTGTATTACGACATTCTTGGTTTTGAAGAACTGGTATGGTCATGTTCATAGTGTTAATTACATAACACTCGAAGGGTTAACACTCGAAACGTCAGCTTTGAAACTCTGTAAGGTGGCCAATTTACATTATAAACTCAGTTATAAATAAAACCAAGTAATATATGTCAACACACGTGTTTGTTTGTTCCAGGTGAACGAACCTGGCATAGCTTCAAGCTAGCTAATTTGAGCATGCGTAGTAAGAGTACAGCCGAGTGCGACTCGCTCTGACGAAGGGTTAACACTCGAAACGTCAGTTTTGAATCTCTCTACCGTGGCCAATTTATATTATCAACTCAATTATAAATAAATCCAAATTATCTTAACCTACGTGCTTGTTTGTTTCTTCCGGGCGATCGAACCTGACAGAGCTTCGAGCTAGCTAGTTTGAGCGTGCGTAGTAAGAGTACGGCTAGGGGCGAATGAGGAAATCAGGACCTTTTGTCTCCAATGGCTTTCCATTTCTTTTTCTTTGTTGAAACGTTTGAATTCTACGGTTGAGTGGCATCAAAATTTGTCGCAAGAAAGGGTTCCTTTCTCGTTTAATGTACGTGGACATTAAAAGCACCGCAAAAATTCAAGAACTTTCCAACTTGTTGACCTTGCTAGCTATGAGCCAAGGTGTGTCTGTTTGCTCCAATCCACCAAACCTGACTAGGTTTCAGAGAGCCTAATTGACTAGTTGTCCAGTCCCTCAAGTCTAATTGACTTGATTGAGTAAACATGTCAGACTGAATATGTTCATGAATGCGTTTACACAGGACAGGATACGTGACCCAAGGAAAGAAAATCTTCCAAAACTTACAATAAACTTACAGCTCAATTACTGAAAAAAAACCATACACTTTCCGAAATTTCTTATTGGATTTATGATGAATCGAATATGAATTCAATTTCGTGTTCACTTTGCACAGAAAAGTTCCCTTTTGGCTCGAGTTCACCTTTACAATTTTTTTCTACTGCTTTGAACTTTTTTAAATCTACTATATTCTGATTTACCCAATTTCCTACACTCGATTCAAATAAGCTCAAACGAGGCTGTTGGCAAATACGTGCAAAATGTGTTAGCAATGGCGTCTGAAGTATTCTGTCTGGTATTCCCACTGGTTTTGCTTCTCCAACCGTCAAAAGTTTGCTTTGAAACGAAAGGTAACAACGTTGATTTATATCTAAATTCACATGCCTGTCCCATTACTCCTATGCAGACACACAGGATTTTGAGGCTCAAGCAGATCAATTATCGTTTGATGTTCCACTTCCTCGGCTTCTCTCCGAAACAAAGCAACGCTAAAGGTGTGGTTAAATGCAAATGAAACTCTTCCATCGCTGCGATTCATTCTTTTTCTGAGGACACAAAACTATAATTTCTTTCCAGAAATATAATATGCGTGGGTTTTGTTACTCAGACCATACACAAGGTTATGGTAGAGTTACGTTAATGGTTACGGGATGTTTTAGTTCTGAGACGGCAGTATCTTTACTGATGGAGATCTCAGATAATTGTTGCCCGAACAGAACTATCTTGTCTAACAATAGTACAATTACTTGCTTGAGATTGAAATGCCAGCTTACGAAAGAAAATTGACAGTGAGCAGATGGTTTGAAACTGCATTTCACGTCAAATAATTGCTCTTGCAATCCACAACTTTAGATTATTCTAAATTGTATCAATAACTCAAAACCAGCCAAAATCCGTCAGTTCGCTGGCTATATAAACATTTTACTTGGGTATCCAGGTAACGATAATTCCTTGTTCGAAGGAGGTTATTCAGTTCATATTTCTTCTTCCAAAGAGATGGTAAACTCATTTCCAATGTCAGTTTTTTAAAAGCACTAGTTAATAATCGGCCAAATGTAGGTCATGGGAGGTGGCGGTGAACGAGACTTAGTCGAATTTGCATCAGTGTTAATTAGTCTAGTAATCATCAACCTCGATCTTTATCAATTTGATGACTAAAGAATAACAAGCTATAGCCAAGTTCAAGCGTCAATCTATGGTTTAGCGAATTCCTCTAAGCAAGGTCAATTTATTATGTGTGTAATAAGAACAAAAAGATTATTGTGGATACGAACTGCACCAGAAATCCAATTAAATTTTAGTGGTCTTTCACAATCTACTGTGATATTCAAAGGAGAAACCAAACATTATCTATCCTGAAAAAAATTCAGTAAAACCGTCAAGAAAAGAAGCACTCAGTTATAGTATCTAGGTTTTCAAAGGACGCAAAAGATTAACTTAATGATTTTCTAGCTTGATTCGTTTTACTCAGAGTAAAATATTGTGAGGGCCGGGGTAGGAAACCTCACTAAGACTATATTGATATGATTGGCTATCTGAAAAAAAAAAAAAGCAAGCTATGATTGGTGCATTATTTCCTTATCAAGTGGGAACGTCACACACCCATATAAAAGTGGAAGAAATGGGCTTCCCATAGAATCGAAGCATTCTTTAGTGGGGGAGAGAGAGTGGCGTGTCCAGACCAAGGAGACTCGTTTTTACATTGCACACAAGAGAAATGTTCCTGTGTTCAGCGGGAAGTATATTCAATGACCTCTGCAAGTACATGTTTTCATTTACATGAAACAGATTACATGTCAATGTGGATTTATACTTCAAGATCACATAATATGTCAAAATGTGGTAACAACATCAATTTTTCACTTGGCTGCGCCTCGTGTGCCACGAGCACCTTCTGACGCCATCGTTGATCTACAACAAAATGGAAACACGTCATAATGTAATATTTTTGTTCATCAGATGATGACGCGAAGTTTTTATTTCATAATCAAACTCTCCATAAGCGTAAGTCGGTTGACTTAAGTACCATTGCCTCTTGCTTCGTAAACGTCATAAGAAATAACACTAATTTAATGAAAAACCTTCTACCTATGCGTATGTCTGTCAGACCTCCAGTTTTAGTGCTCACACATGTGAAATTAGGCTTGGTAAGTATTCGTCAGTTTTTATCATACATTCAGCCGGTGATTGACCTTATTGGTCATAATAGCTGCAACTTGTATTCCTGTGCAAGTCTTCAAGTTTCGTGTCAATTGCTCCAATTATAACACCCCATGAAGTTTCAAGCAGCCAATTATGTAGGGATTTGTTTTTGAGGTTCCATTTAAGGACAGCATCAAGTTAACTTGTACATGATTCGAGATAATTATGTTGAATCTTTATTCAACTAATTGGCGAAGTTTTCATATAGACTGGTTGCGTCTACTTTCTTTTTAAATTGCGGACAAGAGAACAGCTATTGTGCGCGGTAGGAAATTTATTCAACGACCTCTACCAGCAGCCTAATTTTTTATTTAAAAGTTTTCTTTCAAAGAATTCCGGCGGGCGAAAATCTTCGCACCTTTTGATAACAGTTTTAATGAGCATTATCGTTCCTTTTTTCTTTAACCGCTGTTTTCTTGAAATCATGGTGGGTGGCTTTCAATTGTATTCTTGATCTCGGTGTACAACATTTGTTTGAGCATTGTGGAGGAAAATTACCTTTATTACAACTGTAACTGAATCCGTCGAGAATGTACAGCTCTTAATGCCATGATGTTTGCTTCAAGAAACCTTTTTTAAGACACGTAGTTCAAACGGCAATCATATTTGTTTTAATATACTTGTATAAATCACTTGTACAACTTTTATATTACTCAACTCAAGCATGGACGTTCTGAGGCCGTTTTTTCCTAACGTATCCTGTAAGAATGATAAACGTGACATCTAAGAACAATTTTTCTTCTTCTTCTCTTTTTCTTGTTCAAAAGGACAATGTTTAGCTTCCTTAGTGGTATTTACATATACGTGATCGCCTGGGGCCTTTTCGGACAAGACAATAGCGATACTCTGGGACCTTTACATTTCCTTGTAAATTAATTCTTGAGAATTTAGTGTTAGATCAAGATAAAAACTTCTATCTGATAAGTATGAGTATTTTCATCAGCTGTTGACTGGAGAATGTATGTTTACTACAGGGGAGGTTACAAGTTAGTCATTTCTGGAAGTTAAGGGGTTGATTAATTCTTTTCTGAACAGTACCTCTCGTGGATTGCTACTGGAACAGGACTCTTCTTTGCAGCCATCTTCCACATTGGCACAAAGGAACCTCAAAAATGTCAGAGTTAAGAAACCACCACAATGGATCTTACGGTAAGACACGAAACAAAAAGGATATTTCCTTTTCAAATAATGGTGGAGAAACCAAGAGCCATGAATTGCGCATCAGAAAACGAAGTCTTCCGCAGAAGTTTGCTGTTGCCATGTTTGCCGATGGGAAAATAGATAACATTGATCAAAATCATAAGAATCCAGAAAGTGAGGATACAAAAATACGAGTTGTTCTAGAAGTACAGCATCTTGATCGTGAACGCAAGAAGAGTCCACTAATGCTTGATTTTGACGGCATCCTGTTGATATTACAACACGAAGAGCACAAGCAACCAACATGTTTTGGTGCCATGGAAAACCAAGTTACAATGGACGGTAAAGCCGACGATCATGCAACTGATGAAGAGTTGGGGAACGCTAGACAAAAAGAAATCAAAAACACTACTGAAAAGAGTTTGTGGAAAAAGACCAAGGTTTGAAGATGATGGAGGTCATGATGATAAGAAGGAAAGCCTTTGCAGTACATCAGTTAGGAAGCGAAAAAAGTCTGTGACTTTCGATCTTTCTGGACTTCTTGAAATGCTGTCAATGAACGGAACAGAACGACAGGGAATAAATCCCGATCACACGCCTGACAACAAAACAACACGGCAGAAAAATCGAAAGAACAGAAGATTGCGATACCACAGATAATTCGTTAACTTCAGGGGATAACCCTGATCTTCTTGGTCTCCCTGTTCAATCGACAAGTTCTCCATCTGAGGGAAGACGTCCAAAAGGAATCAAATACTGGCTAAAAGATCCACAGGTGTACATGGTAAACCCTCACGATTCAAACTATCCTTGTTTGTTGATTTAGTTGACTCTCTGTGACGTTTTTCTCGTGTTTTAATTCTCACAGAGAGATTATCATTCCCCAAGGTATAGTTCAATCTGATGCGCTCAGTCGCTTTCACCTCTTTAATAACTATAATAATCTCATCGTATTTTTGTCCTGGATCAGGCAGCTACCACTTATTTTCCACTCGTCCTCCTAACCAGTGGCTCTTTAGCGAGTTCAACGTGTAAGGAACCGAAAAGGAAAATTGAAAGTAAGGTAAGACCTTGATTAACAGCTTCTTCTAGCTAGTCATTCCACGTTTATGATAGAAGAAATGCATTGATTGCGCCAAACGTCAGTTTATGTCCTTGTTGATGATGATTGGCTGAGAGGGGCAATAAATCAACGATCATCTTAATGGCTTTATTTAACTTAACTCGACACATGAACCATCTTTTCCTCAAGTTACGATAGTTAGGAGTTCGATCCCTCAAAGGATTCTCAGATCTCTTTTTTTTGTGTCTTGCTTGTTACAGAACCAAGAACAACTTTATTTGTTAAATTAGTCTTAGAAACTTTCATACTTTCCTTGATATCCACATCTAATGGAGCTACCTTCTGGCAAGTTTATTTGTGACGGGTGGCGCTGTTTGGAGCTATTTTCAAACCTTCTCCACCAGACAACTTATGCACCAGTGGGTATGATAAGAAGTGGTCTGTCCATTATGTATTTCATGGTACTGGTCTTCATCACCGAGCTGATCGGGGAAAATAGGGTTAGTCTTCCGAAACAAGTTTAAATAGTTTCGAGGAGAGACTAAGTCGCAAACTCTGATCATTTCATTAGAGTGCATTTCCAACCAGCCATTTTTGAAACTGAAATGACATGAAAGTTTTTTTGAATGTCGCAAAACAAAATCCAAACTAATCACAACTCTTTGTCCGAACGAAATAAAATCTTACAAGCAGCTACTAAGAATATAAAGTAAATACAGTTAGATCGCCTGAAGTTTGGGAAATTTCGAGTTACATCTGATCGGTTGAGAGATTGTTGCGAGTTTTCAAGGCCAATCATAAGGGTAATGAAAAAGAACCGTTTCATTCGCGAACTAGTTCCGAAACTTGATTAACACCATGATCAGTGTGCAGATTTCCCATAGCGCTCTCTATCAATTTACCATGATGCTAATAGGGAGATTTTTTCTGACAATCAAGACCTTTATTTTGATAGGCGATCATTTACCTTTTTCTCTTTTGACGTAAATGTTTGATTCAGCAGTGACACCATGGGGAGAAATTAAAGACCTGCCGGTCTTAGGGGTAAAGAGTTAAAAAATTACGTTAATAATAGGACTAATGTTGGTTTCCCATCAGAGATCAATGAGTTAATACGGTAATTTCCTGTCAGGAAACCAGTGGATCAGTGTTTTCCATTATCACTGTAATCGCCAGAAACTCAAGCGGTGCGCTTATCATTGGTATACAGGACTTTTATCCGGAAGAAAGGTTAGTCTATCAAATCTTTATTGTAATTTACCCTAGAAGGAACAAGAAACATGGTATTTAAAACGTTTAGATTACCAGCCGGTTTGTTAAAACTCGAAAAGTATATTCAACAGTTCTTTACTAGCTTGACCAGGCCATCGTTGACAAATCTGCAAAAGTAAAGGTAAGTACATTGTCAAGCTGTTAGACGTCTATAACTTGGGTAACGGTTGAAGAATAACTGCAATACTCTGAATTACCCCTTGACTCAATGGTGTCAAGCTGTTCCTTCGTTTAAACTAGTAATCTTACCAAATAACAGAAGCCTGTGTAAATGCATTTACCTCGTGATGGTTTTGTGTCTATGTAGTACTGCTATCCATGTTCAGTTATAATTAATAAGACGGTTTTAAACTTAGAGCTTCAGGTTTGTCAGTCAGTATTACACGTGGTTGTCTTTGTTGTTAATGAAACCTTCTTCTGTCAATTTGTTCTTCTAGTTTCAGAAGATGTTGAAAGAGATGGTAAACTCATTTCCAATGTCAATGTTTTAAAAGCACTTCTTAATAATCGGCCAAATGTAGGTCATGTGAGGTGGCGGCGGACGAGATTGAGTCGAATCTACATCAATACTTTTCAATCAAGTTGCTTTTAATTATGGAAATTGCAGTAATTAGTCTCCTTATCATCAACCTCGATCTTTATCAATTTGATGACTCTCAAGAATAATAAGCTATTGTCATTTACTAACGTCAGTTTATGGTTTAGTGAATTCCTCTAAGTAAGGTCAATTGACGTTTACTGAGGATAAGAACCGCACCAGGCATAGAAATAAATTTTTGTGGTCTTTCACAATCTACTGTGTTGTTCAGTGGAGAAAGCAGACATTATCTATGCTAAAAGAGTCAGTAAAACCGCAAATAAAAGAAGCGCACGGCAGCAGTATCTAGGCCTTCGAACGACGCAAAAGATTAGCTCAATGCATTTCGAGCTTGATTCGTTTTAGTTAGAGCAAAATATTGCGAGGGCTAGGGTAGGATTCAGTTCTGTACATTCTTATGAATTAATTTGAAAGCCACTTTGTAAGTTTTTTTTCTATAACCACGCGACTATTTTTAGATGTTGCGGCAGAAATTACTTTAAAAAATACAATGAAAACGCTCGACCAGAAAAAAAAAATAGCAAAAGTCTTCATTATAGAAGAGATGGTAAATTTATCCTGTGACAGGATCAGCCAAAAACTGTTTCCTGTGATATATGTAAATTGAACCAATTTTGAAGAGTTGAAATTAAATATTCAAATGTAAGAAGACAGTAAAGAACCTTGTTAAGTTATAAAATAAAGGGAAAATAACTTCAAAACTCCTTGTAATCCTTTTTCAGACACTCCACTGAAGCTTGGACGGGAGAAACAAAGAACAATCATGGTCGCTGTGATTGATATGCACGATTTAGTAAACTCCTAACTTTCTTTATTCAATTTAGAACCAGCTCAAATGAGGCGTTTAGCAACTACGTGCGGCATGTGTTTATAATGGCGCCTGGAGTATTAACTCTGGTGGGATTCTTACTGGTTTTGTTTTTCCAACCATCTAACTTTATCTGCAAAAGTAAAGGTAAGTTCATTGTCAAGCTGTTAGACGTCTCTAACTTGGGTAACGTAAGGAGAATAACTGCGAATACTTTTAATTACCCCCTGACGCAATGGTGTCAAGCGTTCCTTTGTTTAAACTAGTAATCTTATTAAATGACACGGGTACCAAACTGACGTTTGGTCTGTCCGATGTATTCGTTTTCCGATGTATTCAGACCAAACGTCAGTTTGGTACACGGTTAAAAGAGCACCAAAAAGCGGTTTTCCTTTGCAAAAAGGAAAATTCAGCCTTATCGGAGCATACATGCCTAACTAACCATACGATTGGGTGGGATAATTCTAAAATTATCACCACTAATCGGCGTTACCACCCGGGCCTTTGTTTGGAGGCTTGGCATATTAACTCCGCCCACGCTCCTTTAGATCGTGACGATGGCGGTTTGCTTCCTGACGCCTATTTACACCTCGTAAGAAAATATGCCGCTAATCAGTGATCATATAAAAGGACCTCTTGTTGCAGCGTTTAGATCACCCCTGATGAAGGCACTAGACAGGAGTGTCGAAACGATGGGTTGTGAATTGAATATGAATTGTAACTTCTTCGGTTACATTCATTAAATCTGCAAACCAGAATAGCAATCAAACTATGTCTGATTGTCCACCTGGTTGCCGTGTGAACTGTAATATATTTGAAGCTATGGTCATGTTCTAACGTCAGTTTATGGTTTAGTGAATTCCTCTGAGTAAGGTCTATTTATTGTGTTTTTTAAGAACAAAAACGTTTACTGAGGATAAGAATAGCACCAGGCATCGAAATAAAGTTTTGTGGTCTTTCACAATCTACTGTGTTGTTCAGTGGAGAAAGCAGACATTATCTATGCTAAAAGAGTCAGTAAAACCGCAAAGAAAAGAAGCGCACGGCAGCAGTATCTAGGCCTTCAAACGACGCAAAAGATTAGCTCAATGCATTTCGCGCTTGATTCGTTTTAGTCAGAGTAAAATATTGTGAGGGTTGGGGTAGGATTCAGTTCTGTACATTCTTATGAATTAATTTTATAGCCACTATGCTATTTTTTTCCATAACCACGGGACTATTTTTAGATGTTGCGGCAGTAATTAGTTTACAAAATTCAATCAAAAAGCTCGGCCAGAAAAAACAATTAACCAAAGTCCTCAAGAAGAAGAGAAGAGATCGTAAATTTACCCTGTGACAGGATTAGCCAAAAATTTTTTCGTGTGATATATTTAAATTAAACCAATTTTGAAGAGTTGAAACTAAATATTCAAATGTAACAGGACATTAAAGAACCTTGTTAAGGTATAAAATAAAGCGAAAATAATTCCAAAACTCCTCGTAATCCTTTTTCAAACACTCCACTGAAGCTTGAACGGGAGAAACAAAGACCAATCTTGGCCGCTGTGATTGATGTGTGAACTGTATGTTGAAGAGCTCCTGAGGAAAAGCACAATGATAGAGCAATGATTAATTTATACCAACTGAAGACGAACGCAAATACGCGGCTTACCAATATGACAGCCTCTGATGCTTTTCCTCGTAGTCACAACTTGTGTTGAAATGAACCCGCTACTGGGCCTAAAGTGTGAACATTTCGGCTTCTCGACTCAAGCTGCATTTTTAGAAGTTCGGAAATGTTATTTAAGGTTATTGTTTTTATTAGACCTTACAAACGTTTTATTTCTTTCCACGTAAGTTTCTGAGCTTCATTGAAATTATTTTAGACTTTCACTGAGTAGGGAGGGGTAGAATGTGATACAACTTTCATTTACGCATATGGAAATGCAACTTCCGTCCACGGTCTACAACTTCCGTCAATATCTGTTTCATCACGTAGTAGTACAGCAATTAGAAAGTGAACATAAGAAGAGTCTCTTAGCTCGGTTTTAGGACGGGATCCTGTCAAGACTAGATCAAGAGGTGGAAGTGCAACCTAAATACGCACAACAACGACCTGGGAAAGGTCAAACCAAAGAAGAGGAGGAATAAGATGATAAGGAAAAAAAGGATTCAGGGCATCAGAAAACATCAAAATGTGTTATAAATATCAGTGACTTACTCAGTGACTCACATAGAGCGACAATCGAATAATTTCAGAAAAATAAAATGAACTTTTACTAAAGATGTAGATTTTTACCCCTGACATTAGTCGACGAACAAATAGAGGACCCAAGGTAACTTTTTAAGATTTACCTAGGTTTACATCCATGGGATATCTCTAAAATCTCTGGCAGCCCCAAGGCAAAATAATGACAAGTTCACCGCGGAAAGCTCACTAGGACTATGTTGATATGGTAATTTAGTGTTAACAACTCAGTTGAAAACGTGAATTGGCCACCGCAAAGAGTGAAAAGGCTCACGTTTCAAGCGTTAGCCCTACGTCAGAGCGATTAATATGATTGACTATCTGGAAAACAAAAAGCGGGCTGTGATTGGTGCATTATTTCCTTATCAAGTGGGAACGTCACACACCCATATAAAAGTGGTAAAAGTGGGCTTCCGATAGAATGGAAGCAGGTTTAAGTGTGGGAGAGAGAGAGTAGCGTGTCCAGACCAAAGAGACCCGTTTTTACAATGCGTACAGGAGAAAGGTTACTGTGTGCAGCGGGAAGTATATTCAATGACCTCTGCAAGTGCATGTTTTTATTTTCTCTCCTATTTTTCATGGAGGTAGTGGAACTTTCAGCTGCGAACACTGGACTTATAATACTCCTTGGACAAATTGTCGACGCGTTGACTTCAGTAATCTCTGGATACCTTGGTGATATGATTAAAGTACCCGTTCTTTCACAGAAAATTGGAAAGCGAAAATCTTGGCATCTTATGGCAACGATTTTCATGGGAATTGTACTTCCTCTCTGCTTCAACCGTTGCTTTCTCTGTACTGGAAGTCATCAAACTTGGCTTCCCACCGTCTATTACGGTTTCTTATTTTCACTGTTTTGCATGTGTTTCAGCGTGGTGGAGATAAATCACCTGGCTTTCATCACAGCTACAGCCGTTTCGGTTGAGGAACAAACAGATCTTAGCGCCATGAGGTTTGCTATTTATAAAAGTATTAAATTAAATTAAATTTAACTGTTCACCCATTTTGTTGGGCTCTTACCAAAGATCTACTGGAGGACAGACGCTTAGTTAAGGTCGCCATTTACCCAATTTTTCTTTTTTATCATCTAAAACAAACTCATTATATGTTGATGCGAGTTAACAGTTCAAGAATCACAGAATATGTCAAAATGTGGTAAAAATATAAATTATTCACTCGGCTACGCCCCGTGTGCCACGAGCATATTCTGACGTCATCTTTGATCTCTAACAAAACGGAAGACGTCATAATGTAACAAGTTGCTTTTCACTACAACACTACATAAGCGTAAGCCGGTTGATTTAAGTACCATTGCCTATTGCTTTGTAAAAGTTATAGGAAAGAAAACTAATTTAATGAAAAACCTTCCAGCTATGCGTATGTCTGCTCAGACCTCCAATTTTAGTGTTCACACACGTGAAATTAAGCTTCGAACGTATTCATCAGTTTTTATCATGCATTCAGCCATTGATTGACCTTACTGGCCATAATGGACGGCAACTTGTATTCCTGTGTGAGGAATAAAATTTTCGTGTCAATTGCCGCAGTTATAACACTCCATAAAGTTTCAAGCGGTAAATTAGGCAGGGATTTACTTTTGAGGTTGCATTTAAGGACAGCATCAAGTTATTTTGTACATGATTCGAGATAATTATATTAAATCTGTATCCGACTAATTTGCGAAGTTTTCATATGGGCTGGTTGCATATATTTTCTAGTTAAAATGCGGACAAGAAAACAGCTATTGTGTGCGGTGGGAAATTTATACATATATGGTTTTATGCCTTCCAATGCATAACCTTTTCGCGTGCCATTTCTCCTGTGTAGACAAGCAGGATGTTGAGGCTCAAGCAGATCAATTATCGTTTGATGTTCTTCTTCCTCAGCTTCTCTCTGAAAACAAGGCAACGCTAAAGATGTGTTTAGAGGCAAATCAAAATTGCAACAATTAGTCTCACTATCATCAACCTCCATCTTCATCAATTTGATGACTCTCAAGAATAATAAGCTACAGTCGAGTTTTAGCGTCAATGTATGGTTTAGCGAGTTCCTTTAAGCAAGGCAAATTTAGTGTGTGTGTTATAAGAACAAAAAAATTTACTGTAGATAAGAATTCCACTAGGCATCAAGATAAATCTGTATCCAACTAATTTGCGAAGTTTTCATATGGACTGGTAGCGTGTACTTTCTGGTTAAAATGCGGACAAGAGAACAGCTATTGTGCGCGGTGGAAAATTTCTTCAACGACCTCTGCCGGCAGCTTAATTCTTCATTCAAAATTACATTTTTCTTTCAAAGATCGACGGGCGAAAATCTTGGCACCTTTTGACATCAGTTTTAATGAGCATTATCATTCCTTTTTTCTTTAACCGCTGTTTTCTTTTTATCAGAAATCATGGTGAATGGCTTTCAATTGTCTGTTACACCTTCTTGATCTCTGTGTACAACATTTGTTTGAGCATTGTGGGATAAATCACTTTTATTACAACTGAAACTGAATCCGTCGAGAATGTGCAGCTCTTAGCGCCATGAAGTCTGCTTCAAGAGACATTTTTTTAGACACAATTTATACGGCAATCGTATTTGTTTTTAATATGTTTGTATAAATCACTTGTATAACTCAAGCACGGACAACCCGAGGCCGTTTTTTCCTAACTCATCTTGTAGAGCAATTTTCCTCATTATTCTCTTTTTCTTGTTCAAAGGACAATGTTCAGCTTCCTGAGTGGTATTTACATATACGTGATCGCCTGGGGTATTTTCGGACACGATCATAGCGTTACTCTGGGACCTCAGAGCCTTCCAGATTTTGTGGTAAGTAGCAGCTTCGTTAAAAGTTCTATGCCACGATATGCTTCGACAAACAGGCAGAAGCTCATTACAATGAAATGAAAAAAAGGGCAATTACAAAACGGGTTGCAGCAATTTAGTTTTCTCTCCCTGAGCTGCCTGTCAGCTTGCCAGCCTCCTTCCACACATCTCTTCTGGCATTAAAAATCTTCTTTTTGTCCTTAACCCTTCAACTTTCAAGATTTGATTGCCAATTCTTTCCTGGAGCTGCTTTGCATTTCCTTGTAAATTAGTTTTGAGAATTTATTGTTTTTTTAAGATAACAACTTTTACCTGATAAGTATGGGTATTCTCATCAGCTGTTGGCTGAAGAATGTATGTTTATTACTGGCAGAGGTTACAAGTTAATCATTTCTTGGAGTTAAAGGACTAAAATGCCAGTTGATTAATTCTTTTCTAAACAGTATCTCTCTTGGATTGCTACTGGAACAGGACTCTTCTTTGAAGCCATCTTCCACATTGGTACAAAGGAACATAAAAAATGTCAGGGTAAAGAAAGCGCCATAACGGATCTTACGGTAAGAAAGAAAGCAAAAAAGATATTTGCTTTTCAAATAATGGTCGTACAAAGATTTATTTTTGCGTTCGGAAAGTAGACAACACCTTGGAGCTAATAGCAGCGCGTTTGTGCGATTGTTTCTTCGTTCTTCATTTGATTTATCAACAAGATGTCTATTAATCTGAACGGGTCTTGAAGTTACATAGCGTGACCAGAGGGATAGAGGTATGGTCTACACATTGCCTGAAGCAACCTTTAATTCACTCTGGCCACTTTCCTGTTATTTTGCAGAAAGCTCTTGGAGTAGTCATTGAAGAGTTTGGACCCGAAGATGCCAGTAAGTTTATAGATATGTACTGTGGTGTACCGTCGTTGTTTGTGCTAAAATTGCATATTTAACGTCCTCTCCGACATCAAACTAAACTACAAAAATTAAGAACTCCGCTCGTCTTCATCTAAAGGGGGATAGGTCTTATTTTTGCATGGAGCTTCTTAATATTTAGTGTATTGTTGCCTCGATATTTTTGAGAACCTATTAACCATGACTGTGTGCAGGCATGCCATCTTATCTGGAGAGAGCATCAATTTTGCTTGAAATGTTTAGAAAACGTCCTCTTTAAAGCAAAATTTCTAGTTCAGAAGCGCATATCAACTGGAGATTAAGATTAGTGGTCACAGTAAGGATATCAAACCCTCAAACTCTCTTCAGTTATTTCTAGACTGCATTCCGCTAAGAGGCTTAATGTCGACTACGTTAGTAGCTCGAGTTTTACTTCGAAGAACCAGCAAAGAAGATGGCAAGGATGGGGCAAAGAGTTTCATCTCTCAACCCAGCGTTCTAAGGATCGTCTTTTCAGACAACTTTACGGTAACTTTTTTTCAGCGCAGCGCAAAACCTCCAGCTTAGCTGAGGTAACTCAGATTCTTCACTAACAAGTTCCAACGGGGAAAAGAAGTAGAACAAAAACTAATCGAGAAAAAGTCCATATACCCCATTTTATAAAAATATTATTTGAGATTATTTTAAGGGAATAAATGTTAATGGTTGATCCGACAGAGATTTTGCTGAAGTTGGCACGATTTAGTTCCACCGTTGAACCCTGACACGGAAAAACCAGACGTTCGTTAATTGCTTGTTTTGTTTTTTTGCTCAAGATTCGAGACGGACCAGTCTCGCTTTTAAGTTTACTGACACGGTTATGGCTTCAACTGAATATAAAGAACATCGAAGTGAGATGAACAGATGTGGAGAAACCAAAAGCCATGAAATGCGTATCAGAAAACGAAGTCTTCTGCAGAGGTTTGCTGTTGCTATGTTTGCCGACGGGAAAATTGATAACACTGATCGAAATCATGATCAGCCGTGGTCTTCGGAAGAGGAGACCACTAAGAATCCAGAAAGTGAGGATACGAAAAAACCAGTTGCTTTAGAAGTACAGCATCTTGATCGTGAACGCAAGAAGAGTCCACTAATGCTTGATTTTGACGGCATCCTGTTGAGATTACAACACGATGAGCACAAACAACCAACAGGTTTTGCTGTCATGGAAAACCAAGTTACAATGGACGGTATAGCCGACGATCATGCAACTGATGAGGAGTCGTGGAACGTTAAACACGAAGAGATCAAAAACACCACTGAAGCGGATATGTGGAAAATGACCAACAGTGCGGCCCCAACAACATCTTTTTGTACCGCATTTAAGCAAAGAAAACATGGAATGGTGCTTATTCCGGATGATGGTAAATTTGGTCTCTCTAACTCTGGATTTGAAGATGATGGAGGTCGTAATGATAAGAAGGAAAGCCTCTGCGGCACATCAGTTAGGAAGCAAAAAAAATTTGTGACTTTCGATCCTTCTGGACTTCTTGAAATGCCGTCAATGAACGGAACAGAACGACAGGGAATAAATCTCGATCACACGCCTGACAACAAAACGAGTTTGGATGAAAATATTCCAAAACAACACGGCAGAAAAATAGAAAAAACAGAAGGTTGCGATACCACAGATAATTCGTTAACTTCAGGGGATAACCCTGATCTTCTTGGTCTCCCTGTTCAATCGACAAGTTCTCCATCTGAGGGTAGACGTCCAAAAGGAATCAAAAACTGGCTAAAAGATCCACACGTGTATATGGTAAACCTTCACGTTTCCAACTATCTTTGTTTGTTGATTTAATTGACTCTCTGTGATATTTTTTCTCGTGTTTTAATTCTCAGGTAGCCATTATCTTTACATGTACACGCCTTGCGCAAGACTCTGTACACGGCTATTTACCGCTATTCCTCACAGAGGGATTATTATTTCCCAAGGTATATTTCAGTCTGAAGTGCTCAGTTGTTTTCAAACTCATTGATAATTATAATAATATAATCATATTTTTTTCCGTGAATCAGGCAGCTACCGCTTATTTTCCACTCGTTCTCCTAACCAGTGGCTCTGTAGCGAGTTCAGCCTGTAACAAACTGAAAAGGAAAATTGGAAGTACGGTAAGACCTAGATTAACAACTTTTGCTAGATGGTCATTCCACGTTTGTGATGGTGGAAATGCAATGATTGCGCCAATTGTCGGATTATTTACTTGATGATGATGATCGGCTGAGAGGGGCAATAAATCAACGATCATCTTAATGGCTTTATTTAACTTAACTCGACGCATGAACCATCTTTTCTCAAGTTACGATAGTCAGGAGTTCGATTCTTTAAGGAATTCTCGGACTTTTTCTATGTCTCTTGCTTGTTACAGAACCAAGAACAACTTTATTTGTTAAATTAGTCTTGATAACTTTCATACTTTCGTTGATATCCACATCTAGTGGAGCTACCTTCTGGCAAGTTTATTAGTGATGGGTGGCGTTGTTTGGAGCTATTTTCAAACCATCTCCACCAGACAATCAACGTATGCACCAGTGTTTATGATAGGAAGTGGTCTGTCCATTATGTGCGTCATGGCACTGGTCTTCATCACTGAGCTGATCGGGGAAAATAAGGTTAGTGCTTTGAAACAAGCTTCAAAGGTTTCGAGGAGAGGCTAAGTCGCAAACTCTGATCAGTTCAGTTACAGTGTATTTTCAACCAGCTATCGGACCAATTGACTGAAAAAGTAGTCATTTTTGAAATTGAAATGACATAGAATTTCTTTTAAATGTCGCATTACAAAATACATACTAATCACAACTCTTAGTCAGAGCGGAGGAAAATCTCACAAGCAGCTAATGAGAATTTAAAGTAAATACAGTTAGACTGCCTGAAGTTTGGGAAATTTCGAGTGACATCTGATCGGTTGAGAGATTGTTGCGAGTTTTCAAGGCCAATCACAAGGGGTAATGAAAAAGAACCGTTCCAGTCGCGGACTGGTTTAACAATCAAGACCTTCAGTTTGATTGGGGATCATTTCAGTACCTTTTCCTCTCTTGACGTAAATGTTTGGTTCAGCAGTGACAATGTGAGGAGAAATTAAAGACCTGTTGGTCTTAGGAGTAAAGACTTACGTAACGTAAATATGAGTTACGTGACGTAAATATTAGAACTAATGTTGGTTTCCCATCTGAGATCAATGATTTAATACGGTGCTTTCCTTTCAGGAAACCAGTGGATCAGTGTTTTCCATTATCACTGTAATCGCCAGAATCTCAAGCGGTGTACTTATCATTGGTATACAGGAGTTTTATCCAGAAGAAAGGTTAGTCTATCAAATCTTTATTGTAATGTACCTTGGAAGGAACAAGAAACATGGTATTTAAAACGTTTAGATGACCAGCCGCTTTCTTAAATCTCGAAAAGTGTATTCAACAGGTTTGTCTTTACCAGCTTGACCAGGCCATCGTTGACCATTTTAAATTGTAATGAAAGTTTTAAAATCATGAATTATTTAGTAAACTCCTCAATTCCTTTATTCAATTTAGAACCAGCTCAAATGAGGCAGTTAGCAACTACGTACGGCATGTGTTTCTAATGGCGCCTGGATTATTAACTCTGGTGGCATTCTTGCTGGTTTTGTTTTTCCAACCATCTAACTTTATCTGTAAAAGTAAAGGTAAGTACATTGTCAAGCTGTTAGACGTCTCTAACTTGGGTAACGCATGGAGAATAACTGCAAATACTCTTAATTACCCCCTGACGCAATCGTGTCAAGCGTTCCTCTGTTTAAATTAGTAATCTTATTAAATGACACAAGCCTGTGTAATGCATTTACCTCGCAATGGTTGTGCGTCTATGTAGTACTGTCGTGCTCAGTTAATAAGACGGTTTTAAACTTAGAGCTTCAAGTTTGCTGGTCAACATTACATGTGGTTGTCTTTGTTGTGAACGAAAACTTCCTCTGTCAATTTATTCTTCTAGTTTCAGAAGATGTTGAGGCTCTACACGGTCAATCGTCGTTTGATGTTCAAGTTAACCAATGTCCATCGGGAGTCAAAGCAACGTCAAGCCACAGCTTGGATGATAGTCACAATACCTCCATCGTGGTGGTGGATTCTTGTTCTGAGGACTCAAAACTTTGAATTCTTTGAAAATTGCATTATGAGTAGAGGTTCTATCAAGTTAAAATCAAAGAGATTGTAAAGTTCATTTCTGTCTGTTATTGCTTAGATTTTACATGAAAAGTTTTGCGATCGTAGAATTCCGTAAAATAAAAGGAGACAAGTCGTAATAACTTCTCGCACCAAGATGGACGAGAGTGTACTTTTCCTAAATTTTAGATAAATAGTGATCTTCTATATTTAATAATTATAACAATATCATTGCATCTTAATTGAAAATGATTCTATCAATTTTAAAATTTTTTTCAGATCTTCTTGTTTTCTACTGATAGCTCAAAGTTTTCTTTGAACCTCGCGCTCGGAAAACTGTTCACATCTCGGAACAAATAATGTGAACCGTTTAGATCAATCGCGGAGAGGCAAAAACTTTTCATAGATTATAGCTACGTGTATTATGACATTTTTGGTTTTTAAGAACTAGTATGGTCATGTTCGCAGTCTTAATTTCGCCTGAAACTAATTTTCAAGCATGAGAAAATGAGGCGAAGGAGAGGAGGGCAGAGAGGGCTGGGAGGGCTGGGAGGGCTGGGAGGGGAGGGAGGCCAGGGGGCAGGGAGGGTGAAAGGAAGGGAAGAGAGGGGGAGGTTCCTTGTTTAGGCTCTGAAGTAAGGTTGTTCAGAGTCAATATCTAGACCAGCATATTCCCTACTAAAAATATTGTAACAAGAATAAGATCAAATATAAACTGACGAATGAAAAATAAAGGTTAGCTGTAGAAATACAAAGTCTATTGCAGACTGATATGTAGAAAAAATATATTACAGTTAGCACCCTCTGATCATACCCAGCTTGTTCCTTATTTTAGGCTTAAGTGTTTTTAAATTCAATTTCTTGCATTAGGGTAAAAAGTTTCTTTGGTCAGTATCGTAAAAGAAACATCAGACTTAGAACGAAGACAGGTTTTTAGTATTGGTGTTGGTTATTATTCAGCTGGTGCTCACCACGAGGGTCATGCTCAATTAGCTACTTTACGCGTGAAATTGCGTGACAACACGTTTTCAGTAAATAAAGTCACTATCCAACAATCCTGACATCGAGCATTTTACCTAAATTGTCTGCTTATCGTGATATCACGATCCAGCCCATGTAACTTATTCTACCTCCGCATGTTTTGATGATAAACAGGAAAATTATATTCAGGGATGTTTAAAAGGACGACTGTTTATGAAGAAGGCTGGATGGCAGCTGGAGAGACCTTTCTTACGATTAAGTTACAATTAAGGGTAGTGAGTTCCTTATAACACTGAAAAAAAAGACAATCATTGCGATACTTCATTTTGACGTCCTCGGTTTTCAACATGATAAGACAATATCTGAGTTTGAAAAAGTCTAAACGCTATGGATCTAATTTTTTATTCTGAGGGTTCAAACATATTTATTTGGCAGAGTGGATATACGAGTAATTGTGGTGTAACAATCGCGCGAAGAGAAACTTATTTGATAACTTTTGACCAAAATGCGGAGAAGGGAAAGGTTATCTTGTGCTGCGGGAAACATATTGAACGATATTGCCGAATGCTGTTGACATCCTTCCAATTCCTGTTTTTTGTAAATGTAAAAGAGCTTCGAGCTTCGCAAGTGTCAATAATAACATTTACTGGTCCAATATCGGAAGCAGTTTTCTCAGTGCTCATTGGTTATTTTGGTGATCGAGTCGATATTCCTTTCATTTCAAGGAAATTCGGAAGTAAATCTTGGCATCTTATCGCAACATGCTTGATGGCAATCAACTTTCCTCTTTTGATGAATCGTTGCCTTCTTTGTGAAGGCAGAGAGCAGACCTGGCTTCCAGTTTTTTATTACAGCTTCTTAGAAGCATTGAGGGGCCTGTCGTTCAACATGGTGGAGATAAATCATCTGGCCTTTATCACAGCTTTCGCTAAAAATGTGGAGCAGGCAACAACTCTGAGCACCCTGCGGTTTGTTTCAAAGTTTAGGTGTAGGTGATTTCGCATATGTAGTAATTGGTTTTAGATGAATTCAAGGCTGTAGAATCAGGCGTAAAGTTACCTGAAGTGTTTAGCTCTGAATCCTCAGTCGGGGTAGTATTTCGATTCTTAGTACATTTGGCCAAAGCTTGCACAATGAGTTTTAGGGGAATTTTAAAAGACTTAAACGGCCATATTTTAGCCTAGAAAACTCACAAGTTTCAAAGGAAGAAACACAGAAGCGATATAAGTTTTCTTTAATTTTCAAAACTACGTGATGATGGCGCGAGTGTAACGAAACAAAAAAATATGTACATCATTATGGAGGTTCATTGTGCGAGCCTGGGTTACCGTGGTTGTCATTTGTGGTTGGAAAATAACTCTGAAAATAAAAACAAGGAGCGATGAGAAGATGTGGAAATACGCTTGTCACAAAGTAACTTACTAATAAGGATACAATAAAGTTTCATTCATTTTATTTTCTCTGGTGATCTAAGACTGTGTTCACCTCCTTGAGTGGAATTTACGCGTCTACGTAAACACATTATTTCACATTATTTGTTCCGAGATGTGAACAGTTTTCCAAGCGCGAGGTTCGAAGAAAACTTTGAGCTATCAATAGAAAACAAGAAAATCTGAAAAAAATTTGAAAATTGATAGACTCATTTTCAATTAAGATACAATGATATTGTTATAATTATTAAATATAGAAGATCACTATTTATCTAAAATTTAGGAAAAGTACACTCTCGTCCATCATGGTGCGAGAAGTTATTACGACATGTCTCCTTTTATTTACGGAATTCTACGATCGCAAAACTTTTCATGTAAAATCTAAACAATAACAGGCAGAAATGAACTTTACAATCTCTTTGATTTTAACTTGATAGAACCTCTACGCATAATGCAATTTTCAAAGAACTCAAAGTTTTGAGTCCTCAGAACAAGAATCCACCACCACGATGGAGGTATTGTGACTATCATCCAAGCTGTGGCTTGACGTTGCTTTGACTCCCGATGGACATTGGTTAACTTGAACATCAAAAGACGATTGACCGTGTAGAGCCTCAACATCTTCTGAAACTAGAAGAATAAATTGACAGAGGAAGTTTTCGTTCACAACAAAGACAACCACGTGTAATGTTGACTAGCAAACCTGAAGCTCTAAGTTTAAAACCGTCTTATTAACTGAGCACGACAGTACTACATAGACACACAACCATCGCAAGGTAAATGCATTACACAGGCTTGTGTCATTTAATCAGATTTCTAATTTAAACAGAGGAACGCTTGACACGATTGCGTCAGGGGGTAATTAAGAGTATTTGCAGTTATTCTCCTTACGTTACCCAAGTTAGAGACGTCTAACAGCTTGACAATGTACTTACCTTTACTTTTGCAGATAAAGTTAGATGGTTGGAAAAACAAAACCAGCAAGAATGCCACCAGAGTTAATACTCCAGGCGCCATTACAAACACATGCCGTACGTAGCTGCTAACCGCCTCATTTGAGCTGGTTCTAAATTGAATAAAGGAATTGAGGAGTTTACTAAATAATTTATAATTTTAAAACTTTCATTACAATTTAAAATGGTCAACGATGGCCTGGTCAAGCTGGTAAAGACAAACCTGTTGAATACACTTTTCGAGTTTTAAGAAATCGGCTGGTCATCTAAACGTTTTAAATACCATGTTTCTTGTTCCTTCTAGGGTAAATTACAATAAAGATTTGATAGACTAACCTTTCTTTCGGATAAAATTCCTGTATACCAATGATAAGTGCACCACTTGAGATTCTGGCAATTACAGTGATAATGGAAAACACTGATCCACTGGATTCCTGAAAGGAAATCACCGTATTAACTCATTGATCTCAGATGGGAAACCAACATTAGTTCTACTCCTAAGACCAACAGGTCTTTAATTTCTCCTCACATTGTCACTGCTGAACCAAACATTTACGTCAAGAGAGAAAAAGGTACTGAAATGATCGCCAATCAAACTGAAGGTCTTGATTGTTAAACCAGTCCGCGACTGGAACGGTTCTTTTTCATTACCCTCTGTGATTGGCCTTGAAAACTCGCAACAATCTCTCAACCGATCAGATGTCACTCGAAATTCCCCAAACTTCAGGCAGTCTAACTGTATTTACTTTAAATTCTCATTAGCTGCTTGTGAGATTTTCCTCCGCTCTGGCTAAGAGTTGTGATTAGTATTTATTTTGTATTGCGACATTTAAAAGAAGTTCTATGTCATTTCAATTTCAAAAATGACTACTTTTTCAGTCAATTGGTCCGATAGCTGGTTGAAAATACACTGTAACTGAACTGATCAGAGTTTGCGACTTAGCCTCTCCTCGAAACCTTTGAAACTTGTTTCAAAGCACTAACCTTATTTTCCCCGATCAGCTCAGTGATGAAGACCAGTGCCATGACGCACATAATTGACAGACCACTTCCTATCATAACCATTGGTGCATAAGTTGATTGTCTGGTGGAGAGGGTTTGAAAATAGCTCCAAACAGCGCCACCCATCACTAATAAACTTGCCAGAAGGTAGCTCCACCAGATGTGGATATCAACGAAAGTATGAAAGTTATCAAGACTAATTTAACAAATAAGGTTGTTCTTGGTTCTGTAACAAGCGAGAGACATAGAAAAGATCCGAGAATCCCTTAAAGAATCGAACTCCTGACTATCGTAACTTGAGAAAAGATGGTTCATGCGTCGAATTAAGTGGAATAAAGCCATTAAGATGATCGTTGATTTATTTCCCCTCTCAGCCGATCATCATCATCAAGTAGATAATCCGGCGCAATCAATGCATTTCCACCATCACAAACGTGGAATGACCATCTAGAAAAAGCTGTTAATCTAGGTCTTACCTTACTTCCAATTTTCCTTTTCAGTTTGTTACAGGCTGAACTCGCTATAGAGCCACTGGTTAGGAGGACGAGTGGAAAATAAGCGGTAGCTGCCTGACTCACGGAAAAAAATACGATGATATTATTATAATTATCAATGAGTTTGAAAACAACTGAGCACTTCAGACTGAAATATACCTTGGGAAATGATAATCCCTCTGTGAGGAATAGCGGTAAATAGCCGTGTACAGAGTCCTGCGAAAGGCGTGTACATGTAAAGATAATGGCTACCTGAGAATTAAAACACGAGAAAAAATATCACAGAGAGTCAATTAAATCAACAAACAAAGATAGTTGGAAACGTGAAGGTTTACCATATACACGTGTGGATCTTTTAGCCAGTTTTTGATTCCTTTTGGACGTCTTTCCTCAGATGGAGAACTAGACGTTTGAACAGGGAGACCAAGAAGATCAGGGTTATCCCCTGAAGTTAACGAATTATCTGTGGTATCGCAACCTTCTGTTCTTTCTATTTTTCTGCCGTGTTGTTTTGGAATATTTTCATCCAAACTCGTTTTGTTGTACCAATGTGGAAGATGGCTGCAAAGAAGAGTCCTGTTCCAGAAAAATTCAAGAGAGATATTGTTTAGAAAAGAATTAATCAACTGGCATTTTAGTCCTTTAACTCCAAGAAATTATTAACTTGTAACCTCTGCCAGAAAGACAAAGCAATAGACAATGGTACTTAAGTCAACCGGCTTACGCTTATGTAGTGCTGTAGTGGAAAGCAACTTTAGGAGAGTCTGATTATGAAATAAAAACTTTGCGTCATCATCTGATTAGCAAAAATGTTACATTATGACGTCTTCCGTTTTGTTAGAGATCAAAGATGACGTCAGAATATGCTCGTGGCATATATTATATTTTTACCACATTTTGACATATTCTGTGATTCTTGAACTGTAAACCCGCATCAACATATAATTAGTTTGTTTTAGATGATAAAAAAGGAAAATTGGGTAAATGGCGACCTAAACTAAGCGTCTGTCCTCCAGTAGATCTTTGGTAAGAGCCCAAAAAATGGGTGAACAGTTAAATTTAATTTAATTTAATACTTTTATAAATAGCGAACCTCATGGCGCTAAGATCTGTTTGTTCCTCAACCGAGACGGCTGTAGCTGTGATGAAAGCTAGGTGATTTATCTCCATCACGCTGAAACACATGTTAAACAGTGAAAATAAGAAACCGTAATAGACGGTGGGAAGCCAAGTTTGATGACTTCCAGTACAGAGAATGCAACGGTTGAAGCAGAGAGGAAGTACGATTCCCATAAAAACCGTTGCCATAAGATGCCAAGATTTTCGCATTCCAATTTTCTTTGAAAGAACGGGTACTTTAACCATATCACCAAGGTAACCAGAGATTACTGAAGTCAACGCGTCGACAATTTGTCCAAGGAGTATTATAAGTCCAGTGTTCGCAGCTGAAAGTTCCACTACCTCCATGAAAAATAGGAGAGAAAATAAAAACATGCACTTGCAGAGGTCATTGAATATACTTCCCGCTGCACACAGTAACCTTTCTCTTGTACGCATTGTAAAAACGAGTCTCCTTGGTCTGGACACGTTACTCTCTCTCTCCCACACTTAAACCTGCTTCCATTCTATCGGAAGCCCACTTCTACCACTTTTATTTGGGTGTGTGACGTTCCCACTTGATAAGGAAATAATGCACCAATCACAGCCCGCTTTTTGTTTTCCAGATAGTCAATCATATTAATCGCTCTGACGTAGGGCTAACGCTTGAAACGTGAGCCTTTTCACTCTTTGCGGTGGCCAATTTACGTTTTCAACTGAGTTGTTAACACTAAATTACCATATCAACATAGTCCTTGTGAGGTTTCCGCGGTGAACTTGTCACCATTTTGCCTTGGGGCTGCCAGAGATTTTAGAGATATCCCATGGATGTAAACCTAGGTAAATCTTAAAAAGTTACCTTAGGTCTTCTATTTGTTCGTCGACTAATGTCAGGGGTAAAAATCTACATCTTTAGTAAAAGTTCATTTTATTTTTCTGAAATTATTCGATTGTCGTTCGATGTGGGTCACTGAGTAAGTCACTGATATTTATAACACATTTTGATGTCTTCTGATGCCCTGAATCCTTTTTTTCCTTATTATCTTATTCCTCCTCTTCTTTGGTTTGACCTTTCCCAGGTCGTTGTTGTGCGCATTTAGGTTGCACTTCCACCTCTTGATCTAGTCTTGACAGGATCCCTTCCTAAAACCGAGCTAAGAGACTCTTCTTATGTTCACTTTCTAATTGCTGTACTACTACGTGATGAAGCAGATATTGACGGAAGTTGTAGACCGTGGACGGAAGTTGCATTCCCATATGCGTAAACGAAAGTTGTATCGCATTCTACCCCTCCCTACTCAGTGAAAGTCTAAAATAATTTCGATAAAGCTCAGAAACTTACGTGGAAAGAAATAAAACATTTGTATTGTTTAATAAAAATAATAACCTCAAATAACATTTCCGAACTTCTAAATATGCAGCTTGAGTCGAGAAGCCGAAATGTTCACACTTTAGGCCCCGTAACGGGTTCATTTCAACACAAGTTGTTACTACAAGGAAAAGCATCAGAGGCTGAAATATTGGTAAGCCGCGTATTTGCGTTCGTCTTCAGTTGGTATAAAGTAATCATTGCTCTATCATTGTGCTTTTCCTAAGGAGCTCTTCAACATACAGTCCACACATCAATCACAGCGGCCAAGATTGTTCTTTGTTTCTCCCGTCCAAGCTTCAGCGGATTGTTTGGAAAAGGATTACAAGGAGTTTTGAAATTATTTTCCCTTTATTTATAACTTAACAAGGTTCTTTACTGGCCTCTTACATTTGAATATTTAATTTCAACTCTTCAAATTGGTTCAATTTACATATATCACACGAAACAGTTTTTGGCTGATCCTGTCACAGGATAAATTTACGATCTCTTCTCTTCTTCTTGAGGACTTTGGTTAATTGTTTTTTCTGGCCGAGCCTTTTGATTGAATTTTTTTAAACTAATTACTGCCGCAACATCTAAAAGTAGTCGCGTGGTTATGGAAAAAAATAGCATAGTGGCTATAAAATTTATTCATAAGAATGTACAGAACTGAATCCTACCCCAGCCCCCACAATAATTTACTCTGACTAAAACGAATCAAGCTCGAAATGCATTGAGCTAATCTTTTGCGTCGTTTGAAGGCCTAGATACTACTACCGTGCGCTTCTTTTCTTTGTGGTTTTACTGACCCTTTTAGCATAGATAATGTCTGCTTTCTCCACTGAACAACACAGTAGATTGTGAAAGACCACAAAAATTTATTTCGATGCCTGGTGCTATTCTTATCCTCAGTAAACGTTTTTGTTCTTAAAAAACACAATCAATTGACCTTACTTAGAGGAATTCACTAAACCATAAACTGACGTTAGAACATGACCATAGCTTAAAATATATTAAAGTTCACACGGCAACCAGGTGGACAATCAGATATAGTTTGATGCTACTCTGGTTTGCAGATTTAATGAATGTAACCGAAGAAGTTACAATTCATAGACCCAACGTTTCGACACTCCTGTCTAGTGCCTTCATCAGGGGTGATCTAAACGCTGCAACAAGAGGTCTTTTTATATGATCACTAATTAGCGCCCCTTTTTTTCTGACGAGGTGTAAATAAGCGTCAGGAAGCAAACCGCCATCGTCACGATTTAAAGGAGCGTGGGCGGAGTCAATATGCCAAGCCTCCAAACAAAGGCCCTGGTGGTAACGCCGATTAGTGGTGATAATTTTAGAATTATCCCACCCAATTGTATGGTTAGTTAGGCATGTATGCTCCGATAAGGCTGCATTTTCCTTTTTGCAAAGAAAAACCGCTTTTTGATGCTCTTTTAATCGTATACCAAACTGACGTTTGGTCTGTCCGATGTATTCGTTTTCCGATGTATTCAGACCAAACGTTAGTTTGGTACACTGTTAAAAGAGCACCAAAAAGCGGTTTCCTATTTACTGCAATTTCCATAATTAAAGCAAGTTGATTGAAAAGCATTGATGTAGATTCGACTCAATCTCGTCCACCGCCACCTCACATGACCTACATTTGGCCGATTATTAAGAAGAGCTTTTAAAACATTGACATTGGAAATAAGTTTACCATCTCTTTGGATGAAGAAATTTGAATTGAACAACCTCCTTCGAACAAGGAATTATCGTTACTTGGATATCTAAGTAGAATGTTTATATAGCCAGTGAACTGACCCTACGTAACTGAAAGCGCAAAAACTAAAATGTTCACCATAATTACAGGCTCAAAGGAGACTGATTTTGGCTGGTTTCGAGCCATTGATACAAATTAGAATAATTTAGAGTTGTGGATTGCAAAAGCAATTATTTCAAGTGAAATGCAAGCTCAAACCCTCCGCTCACTGTCAAGTCTTCTTTTATACGCTGGCATTTTAATCTCAAGCAAGTAATTGGAGAAAAGTGGACTCCGGTTCATCTCGGTGCGAGAAGTTATTACAACTTGTCTCCTTTTATTTTACGGAATTCTACGAACGCAAAACTTTTCATGTGAAATAGTTTCTCCTAAAATCTAAACAACAACAGATGGACTTGAACTTTACAATCTCTTTGATTTTAACTTGATCGTAAAAAATGAAACAGTTATGGGTCGTATTGGCCGAAATCGTGGGCGTGTCTGTGCAATGACTTTTTAGTAGGTCGACAGAGTCTCTACATATAATGCAATTTTCAAAGAATTATAAGTTTAGAGTCCTCAGAACAAGAATCCACCACCACGATGAAGGTATTGTGACTATCATCCAAGCTCTGGCTTGACGTTGCTTTGACCCCCGATGGAGATTGGTTAACTTGAACATCAAACGACGATTAGCCTTGTAGAGCCTCAACATCTTCTGAAACAAGAAGGACAAATTGACAGAAGGTTTCGTTGACAACAAAGACAACCACCTGTAATACTGACTAACAAACCTGAAGCTCTTAGTTTAAAACCGTCTTATTAACTGAGCATGGATAGCAGTACTACATAGAAGCAAAACCATCACGAGGTAAATGCATTTACACCGGCTTGTGTCATTTAATAAGATTACTAATTTAAACAAAGGAACGCTTTGCACCATTGCGTCAGGGGGTAATTAAGAGTATTTGCAGTTATTCTCCTTACGTTACCCAAGTTATAGACGTCTAACAGCTTGACAATGTACTTAACTTTACTTTTGCAGATTTTTCAACGATGGCCTGGTCAAGCTGGTAAAGACCTGTTGAATATACTTTTCGAGTTTTAACAAACCGGCTGGTCATCTTAACGCCTTAAATACCATGTTTCTTGTTCCTTCTAGGGTAAATTACAATAAAGATTTGATAGACCAACCTTTCTTCTGGATAAAATTCCTGTACACCAATGATAAGTGCACCGCTTGAGATTCTGGCGAGTACAATGATAATGGAAAACACTGATCCACTGGTTTCCTGACAGGAAATCACCGTATTAAATCATTGATCTCAGATGGGAAACCAACATTAGTACTATTATTAACATAATTTTTAACTCCTTACCCCTAAGACCAACAGGTCTAATTTCTCCTCACACTGTCACTGCTGAATTAAACGTGTACGTCAAGAGAGAAAAAGGCAAATGATGGCCAATCAAAATAAAGGTCTTGATTGTCAGAAAAGTTTTCCTTATTAGTATCATGGTAAATTTATAGAGAGCACTATGAAATATATGCACACTGATCATGGTGTTAATCAAGTTTCGGAACTAGTCCGCGAATGAAACGGTTCTTTTTCATTACCCTTATGATTGGCCTTGAAAACTCGCAACAATCTCTCAACCGATCAGATGTAACTCGAAATTTCCCAAACTTCAGGCGATCTAACTGTATTTACTTTATATTCTTAGTAGCTGCTTGTGAGATTTTATTTCGTTCTGACAAAGAGTTGTGATTAGTTTGGATTTTGTTTTGCGACATTCAAAAAAACTTTCATGTCATTTCAGTTTCAAAAATGGCTGGTTGGAAATACACTCTAATGAAATGATCAGAGTTTGCGACTTAGTCTCTCCTCGAAACCATTTAAACTTGTTTCGGAAGACTAACCCTATTTTCCCCGATCAGCTCGGTGATGAAGACCAGTGCAATAATGGACAGACCACTTCCTATCATACCCACTGGTGCATAAGTTGATTGTCTGGTGGAGAAGGTTTGAAAATAGCTCCAAACAGCGCCACCCGTCACAAGTAAACTTGCTAGAAGGTAGCTCCACTAGATTTGGATATCAAGGAAAGTATGAAAGTTTATAAGACTAATTTAACAAATAAAGTTTTTCTTGGTTCTGTAACAAGCAAGACACAAAAAAAGAGATCTGAGAATCCTTTGAGGAATCGAACTCCTGACTATCGTAACTTGAGGAAAAGATGGTTCATGTGTCGAGTTAAGTTAAATAAAGCCATTAAGATGATCGTTGATTTATTGCCCCTTCCAGCCAATCATCATCAACAAGGAGATAAACTGACGTTTGGCGCAATCAATGCATTTCTACTATCATAAACGTGGAATGACCAGCTAGAAGAAGCTGTTAATCTAGGTCTTACCTTACTTCCGATTTTCCTTTTCGGTTCGTTACACGTTGAACTCGCTAAAGAGCCACTGGTTAGGAGGACGAGTGGAAAATAAGCGGTAGCTGCCTGATCCAGGACAAAAATACGATGAGATTATTATAGTTATCAAAGAGGTGAAAACAACTGAGCACATCAGATTGAAATATACCTTGGGGAATGATAATCTCTCTGTGAGGAATAGCGGTAAATAGCTGTATACAGAGTCCTGCACAAGGCGTGTACATGTAAAGATAATGGCTACCTGAGAATTAAAACACGAGAAAAACGTCACAGAGAGTCAACTAAATCAACAAACAAGGATAGTTGGAATAGTGAGGGTTTACCATGTACACGTTTGAATATTTTAGCCAGTATTTGATTCCTTTTGGACGTCTTCTCTCAGATGTAGAACTTGTCGATTAAACAGGGAGAACAACAAGATCAGGGTTATCCCCTGAAGTTAACGAATTATCTGTGGTATCGCAACCTTCTATTCTTTCTATTTTTCTGCCGTGTTGTTTTGGTATACTTTCATCCAAACTCGTTTTGTTGTCAGGCGTATGATCGGGATTTATTCCCTGTCGTTCTGTTCCGTTTATTGACAACATTTCAAGAAGTCCAGAAGGATCGAAAGTCACAGACTTTTTTTGCTTCCTAACTGATGTACTGCAAAGGCTTTCCTTCTTATCATCATGACCTCCATCATCTTCAAATCGTGGTCTTTTTCCACAAACCTTCTTCAGTAGTGTTTTTGATTTCTTCTTGTCTAGCGTTCCACAACTCTTCATCAATTGCATGATCGTCGGCTTTACTGCCCGTTGTAACTTGGTTTTTCATGGCACCAAAACATGTTGGTTGTTTGTGCTCTTCATGTTTTAATATCAACAGGATGCCGTCAAAATCAAGCATTAGTAGACTCTTCTTGCGTTCACGATCAAGATGCTGTACTTCTAGAACAACTCGTATTTTTTTATCCTCACTTTCTGGATTCTTATGATTTTGATCAATGTTATCTATTTTCCCATCGGCAAACATGGCAACAGCAAACTTCTGCAGAAGACTTCGTTTTCTGATGCGTACTTCATGGCTTTTGGTTTCTCCACATCCGTTCTTCTCACTTTGTTGTTCTTCATATTCAGTCGAAGCCATAACCATGTCAATAAACTTAAAACCAAGAATCTTGACCAAAAATACAAAACAAGCAATTAAAAAACGTCTCGTTTTTCTGTGTCAGGGTTCAACGGTGGAACTAAATCGTGTCAGCTTCAGGAACATGTCTCAACTCTTGGTCGGATCAACTATTAAAACTTATTCCCTCAAAGTGATCTCAAATAAGATTTTTCTGATACGGGATATCTGGACTTCTGCTCGTTTAATTGCACTGAAAAAAAGAGTTATAGTAAAGTTGTCTAAAGAGACGATCCTTAAAAGGCGGGGTTGACAGATGAAATTCTTTGCCCCACCCTAGCCATCTACTTGGCTGGTTCTTCGAAGTAAAACTCGAGCTACTAACGCAGTCGATATTTAGCCTCTTGGCGGAATGCAGTCTAGAAATAACTGAAGAGAGTTTGTGGGTTAGATATCCTTACTGTGACCACTAATCTTAATCTCCAGTTGACATGCACTTCTGAACTAGATATTTTGCATTAAAGAGGACGTTGTCTAAACATTTCAAGCAAAATTGGTGCTGTCTCCAGAGAGGACCACCTGTATCAAACTTGTGGAATGCCTGCACACAGTCATGGTTAATAGGTTCTCAAAAATACCGAAGCAACAATACACTAGATATTAAGAAGCTCCATGCAAAAATAAGACCTATCCCCCTTGAGATGAAGACGAGTAGCGTTTTTCATTTTTGTTGTTCAGTTTTATGTTGGAAAGGACGTTAGATAATCAATTTTAGCACAAAAAACGACGGTTTTTTTTAACAATACACCAAAGTACATATCCATAGACTTACTGGCATCTTCGGCTCCAAACTCTTCAATGACTATTCCAGGAGCTTTCTGCAAAATAACGGGAAAGTGACCAGAGTGAATAAAAGGTTGCTTTAGATAATGTGTGGACCATACCTCTATCCCTCTGGTCACGCAATGTAACTTCAAGACCCGTTCAGATTAATAGACATCTTGTAGATAAATCAAATGAAGAACGAAGGAACAATCGCACAAGCGCGCCGCTTTTAGTCCCACAGTGTTGTCTGCTTTCCGAACGCAAAAATAAGTTTTTGTATGACCATTATTTGAAAAGGAAATATCCTTTTTGTTTCCTGTCTTACCGTAAGATCCATTGTGATGGTTTCTTAACTCTGACATTTCTGAGGTTCCTTTGTACCAATGTGGAAGATGACTGCAAAGAAGAGTCCTGTTCCAGTAGCAATCCACGAGAAGTACTGTTCATAAAAGAATTAATCAACCTTTTAACTCCCAGAAATGACTAACTTGTAACCTCTCCCTGTAGTAAACATACAGTAAACAGCTGATGAGAATACTCATACTTATCAGATAGAAGTTGTTATCTTGATCTAGCATTAAATTCTCAAGAATTGATTTACAAGGAAATGTAAAGGTCCCAGAGTATCGCTATTGTCTTGTGCGAAAAGGCCCCAGGCGATCACCTATATGTAAATACCACTAAGGAAGCTGAACATTGTCCTTTTGAACAAGAAAAAGAGAAGAATAAGAAAAATTGTTCTTAGATGTCACGTTTATCATTCCTGCAGGATAAGTTAGGAAAAAACGGCCTCAGAATGTCCGTGCTTGAGTTGAGTTATATCAAAGTCATACAAGTGATTTATACAAGGATTTTATAACAAATATACACACAATGCTCAAACAAATGTTGTACACCGAGATCAAGAATACAATTGAAAGCCACCCACCATGATTTCAAGAAAACAGAGGTTAAAGAAAAAAGGAATGATAATGCTCATTAAAACTGTTATCAAAAGGTGCCAAGATTTTCGCCCGCCGGAATTCTTTGAAAGAAAACTTTTAAATAAAAAATTAGGCTGCCGGCAGAGGTCGTTGAATAAATTTCTTACCGCGCACAATAGCTGTTCTCTTGTCCGCATTTTAAACAGAAAGTAGACGCAACCAGTCTATATGAAAACTTCGCAAATTAGTTTAATAAAGATTCAACATAATTATCTCGAATCATGTACAAGTTAATTTGATGCTGTCCTTAAATGGAACCACAAATCCCTACGTAATTGGCTGCTTGAAACTTCATGGGCTGTTATAATTGGAGCAATTGACGCGAAACTTGAAGACTTTCACAGGAATACAATTTGCAGCTATTATGACCAATAAGGCCAATCAACGGCTGAATGCATGATAAAAACTGACGAATATTTACCAAGCCTAATTTCACATGTGTGAGCACTAAAACTGGAGGTCTGACAGACATACGCATAGGTAGAAGGTTTTTCATTAAATTAGTGTTATTTCCTATGACTTTTACGAAGCAAGAAGCAATGGTACTTAAGTCAACTGACTTGCGCTTATATTAGCGTTGCAGAGAAAAGTAACTTTAGGAGAGTTTGATTTTAAAATGAAAACTTCGCGTCATCATCTGATTAACAAAAATATTACATTATGACGTGCTTCCGTTTTGTTATAGATCAAAGATGGCGTCAGAATGTGCTCGTGGCACACGAAGCGCAGCCGAGTGTATAATTGATGTTGTTACCACATTTTGACATATTATGTGATCTTGAAGTATAAATCCACATTGACATGTAATCTGTTTGTTTTGGATGATGAAAAAAGCAAAATTGTGCGGAGGGCGACGTAAACTATGCGTCCAATAGATCTTTGGTAAGAGCCAAACAAAATGGGTGAACAGTTAAGTTTAATTTCATATAATACTTTTAAAAATAGCAAACCTGATGGCGCTAAGATCTGTTAGTTCTTCAACCGACACAGCTGAAGTTGTGATAAAAGCCAGGTGATTTATCTCCATCACGCTAAAATATATGTTATACAGTGAAAGCAAGAAACCGTAATAGACGGTGGAAGCCAAGTTTGATGACTTCCACTACAGAGAA